TGAGAAGAGCTCTCACTGAAGATAGAAGTAGATAGGTAGATAGATATAGATATGTATAGGTATATTAGATTAGATAAAAAAAGATGTAAATACATATAGATAGTTAAATATATATATATATATAGGCAATTATAGATGCTTATATATATATAGATACATATAGATACATTATGATAGATATATATACCGTAAAAAATTAGTCTATCTCTAGTCAAGCTTTGAGCTGAGCTCAGCTCGACTTAGCTGCTTCGTTATGAAGCATAACTTAATAGACTGTATTATAACCTAAGTATCTATACACATTAAAAAATTCAATAATATATAGATTCACAAATTTAGCATGCCCCCAGGAGAGGTATTCCCTCACAGCCTAATAGGCTGGCTTCGGTTAGCCCATATACTCCTTTTCACTCTAGAAACACTAAACAAAAACTGTTGCCGCTGGCGCTGCTGGCGCGGCGCAGTTTGAGAGTTGTCATTGAATGGGAATGAAAGGGAAAGCAAAGTACAGTGGCTGCTGGCTGTCAAGCAGGCGACGTCAATTGCCAAAGCACTTGACAAGTAATTTACGGTGGCTGCTGCTGCTGCTGCTGCAGCAGCTAAGCAACGCGACACACAAAACAATGTCAGCTGCCGCCGTCGCAGAAACCCTAACTCACTTTTGTCCTATTTATATTTGGCTTTACGTAAAAAAGTTTCGGGTGTTTCGGTTATTTCGGTTGAGTTTTATTTGCGCGGATTTATTTGACGTTCAACTTTTTCACTTTTTCTCCTTTCTTTTCGCACAACACATGTCGGAGCACATTTAAGATTTATATACTTTTTTTGAGAGTCCTTTTTCTGGCATGCAGCACATGCATATTGTGGCATGCAACGCTTTTCATGGTTAGCTGCATGTGAGAGTGGTTTTTCCATTTTTTTTTTTTTTTGCTTTAATTGTCAGCTCAGCATGAGAGCCAGCGAGCTCAATTGAAAAACGCTTTGAATGCAGGCGAATGCCATTAAAGCATTTGATGTTATTAGCTGAGCTTTGCCATATGAATGGGACTTTAATATGAAGAGCTAGTTGGCCTCAGCTTAAACTGCCCCAAGATGCACGCCTAACTAAGCATAAAATATACAGCATTTGCCTTAAAGACAAACAAAAGCCAAGCGGAAATTAGAAGAGAAAAAAACAAAAGGCGCTCGAAAAACGGGCAAGCGGCGACCTTTTATTGTTACCTTGGCCGCGACGTTCTTAGTTTTTGCCTTTTTTTAAATTATGCAAAAGTATTTTTGCCTGAATGTGAAAGGTGAGCTCACACACACAGGGAATTTTCCGCACAATAAAATTGTTCACACTTTTTACGCTAAAAAGTTGTGAGCTGCAGCTAGATTCCTGACCGGCATGTGTGTAGCTCACAGATTGCCCTATAATATATATATATATAGAGAACGAGAGAGAGAGAGAGTATATATAGTCTGACAAAGACTGGAGCTAATTTTAATTAAAATGGCTTTAAGAGCTACTTTGCCTCAGCGTATGCACCTGGCCTGACTGAGCTGCCGCGTCTGCTGTTGTCGCTGTCAACAAGGCAAACAACAACATCAAAGGCTGCCCAGATTAATATGCACAAGTTAAACAAAACAAAAACTTAAACTATGAATATTTTTGAAGTTCAGCTAAGCTAAATGCACCTGGGTTCTGCCACTCAAGCTCAAAGCCAGAGCTCAGGTTCGCAGTGTCTTTAGACGCACGTAAGCACGTAACAAATCTTTATAGAAAAACGCAAATGCAGCACGCTGCAAAGTATGCAACGAAAAAAGAAGCTGAAGGTGCAAGGCCAATGTGCAGATGGAGCTGAGGCTGCAGCTGTAGCTGCGGAGACATTGCAAATGTCAGCAGGTGACAGTGGCTGTTGCGCCTTGAGGCTGCCATAGTATGGCACTCTTAAGGCATTTGTCTGCCAGCTGCCGGCGGCAGATCGTGCCATAAATGTCAGCGCGCATTGTTGCAACACGAAGCCAGCTCAGCTCAGTTGAGTTCTGTGCAACGCATTGGCATGCCACGCAGCTTTGCACAGTGGTTGACAATGAGACGACGCTGAAGACGATTTTTCTGCTGCTTTGATTTTGAATAGCTCACTTACACACTTAATAAATGTCGCCAGATGCTCGACTAGGCCAGAGCGTGAGAGGCGAAGGGAGGCAGCGAGAGCGAGACAGAGTTAATGCTATGCAAATTTAAATTGCCATCTAAATGGTCCTTAAAGTTGCCAACATTGGAAACTTTCTTTTATCTCGCAGATTATATCATTACGCATGGCATATAATAAGTCAGAGCAAAGCTCCAGCCTTAGAGGGGATATATAGAGGCATATGTGTGATACCCTGTAAAAGTTTGCATAAATCCAAAGCTGCTACTTGGCACAAATTATATATTAGGCAAAAGTAATTTTAGATATAGCTTCCATATATCTATAAATTTAATAAATAAGCAGTATCTGCCAGATATACCCTGTACAATTTATATAAAACGTTATATGTTGATTATAACAAAATATAAATTGTCGAAAATGTTTTTTATATTTATATTCAAAAATGTACATAAAAAATACTATAAATAGTTATACATATGTGCTAAAAATACCCTGCAAAAATTAATAATGCTAAAATTTCTTATTAACAACAAATTTTAGATTCAGCAAAAGTTTTACATATTTAATAAAGTTGAGTATAACAAAAGCTAAAGTCATATATGCTAAAAATACCCTTTTAAAATTAAGATTCCTTAAATATAAAAGAAATGTAAATATTATATTGACAACACACTCTGCAAAACCTGACAAACTCAGCTTTTATCAAAAATGTATTCAAAATTAATATACAGGGTATAACGCTGCTTCTCCATATCCAGCATAAGCTATTACGCGTCTTTTCTATTAACAACCAGGAAAAGGACTTTAGGCAAGTCACATGTAAATTTATTTATTGACTCGCCTGCCAGAACTTGAGCAGTCGCCCCTTTGCACAATTTTTTCTTCATTTTTTTTTGTAGCTTATGACTTTCACTTAGCTTTCACTTGGCTTATTTACACACACACAGTCTCAGCTACACACCCTCACACACACATGTTGTTGCCTTTAGGTGTATGGTAATTGTATTAAATTTCAATAAACGTGTATCAAACGTTATGAATCGTCGCGTTGATTCGCAGCAAATTATAATTTCTGTTGCTCTTTTTGTCAATACCCTGTAAACGGCTTTCAGCGCTTATGCAATGTGTAAACCCTTTTTTATTGTGCTGGACTTTTATTGCTATTTTTGCTGAGGGAGGGTGGGGGCTACACATTGCAATTTGGCTGGCAATAAATTTTGTTGGCAAGACAGCGAAATGAGAAGAAAAGCGCGAAAAAAGAAGAAGAAAGAAGAAGAAGAAGAAGGAGAAAAATATTTAAATTTTTGTGTTGATCGCATAGCGCGCTTTTTGAGGCTTGCAAAGGGGCAAACAGTAAAAAATCTGCTTAAATGTACTTCCGTCATAAAAAGAACGGTAATGCAGAGCCAACGCCAGCGGTTGGCTCTGTGTGTGTTTGTTGTGTTGTGCGACTCACGTAACCCGAGTAGCAAGAAAAACCTTTTTATAAATGCTGCTGCGCGGCTTCCGCAAAATAATAATAAAAACAAAAACACGCAATGGAAACACCCAAATGCCACCGACGGTGAATACTCTTTGATTAAAGGCGAAGCGAAATAGGAATTTTTCATTAATTTAAATACAACAAAATAAACATATATATAAATAAATTAATTAAATCAACTTAAAGATAAAGCATCCTTCTTTTGTATTATTTCACTATAAATCCATTTTTATACATTTTAATAAATTCATAAGTCACATTTTTACTTCCAAAAATATTATGGAAATAATTTGTATTATTTTATTTTTATTTTGAATATTTTAAAAAAATTTTATTTTATTACTTTCATTTATTTTGATTATTTATTCGTATCTTACTGTAATTTGAAATTTATATGAATTTATTTGTAATCATTTCATATTTTACTTATATTTTAAATATTTCAAAACATATAGTATAATTTAATGTTTAAATATATTTTTTTAGTTTTTATATATTTTAAATTTATATAAAAACGTTACGCATAAATTTATATTAACTTATTTTACGTCCGAATTTAGGTTTGAGCTGATTTAATTAAATTTGTGCATGCTGTGAAATATATATATATAATTCATAGTAATACATATGTTCATAAATGTAAGTATAGTGTTTTAGTTTTTCATTTTACATTGTACAGTGTCATCAAAAATTTGTACACATTTATTTTACCACCGATTTTATCTTTAAGCTGATTTAATCTATATTTTTTTACAAACTTTTTATATGTATTCAAAAGTGTTTTGTTTTTCAAACGGATGTATACATTTATATATATATATTTATATTTATATATATTTATATTTATATACTTTCATGTTTGTTCATTTTACAATTTATTTTTAAGTTTTTTTACCTTTATACTATTTTTCTGATCTCATTAAAATTATAATGTTTTTATTTAACACAAAAAAAACATACTAAAAATATATCAAATAAAACCTAAAGCTGCATTTATATTTACATTTAAGTTTAATTTAATGCCAGAATTAATGATAATTTAAAATCACATTCAGTGTTGCGTAAATGAAATAAATGAATTAATTTATGCAGCTAAAATAATTCAAATTCATCAATAAATAAACGAAATTGCAAAACTATTATAATGCCAACGTGCAAAGTACGGAAAAAAAATGCCAGACAATGGCCAAAGTCAAGTATTTTAATGCTCGATTGTTTTATTTGCTCAAGCAGGAAAAGTTTTGCATTGGCTTGAATTGCCAGCGGAAAATGTTGAAGCTCTTGATGCTTCACTTGCTTAATTTATAATTTAAGCTGATATTTCAACAGGATATATGCACATAAATTTATGTATATATATATATATATATAGACTTTACCTTAGTTTTGGGGTTTCACTTGTGTCTGAGTATTGCGGTTGATGTTCTTGTTGCATTCATCGCGTGCCACGAACTATTGTTGCGCTTTCATTGCGGGCTTGTACTTAAGTGTATTTGGCTTGTTATAATTCGCACACACACACACATCAATTAACCCAGTTGCCAGCACAACAACAATAAACAGTTCAAGAATGCGCCAAGTTAATTTTCTTGGAATTTCTGCTGCTTTGTTTCTGCACTTTTTTTCTTTTTTTTGAATGCTGTAGCCAAGTGTATTTCTACCTCAGCTCACACACATGTACACCCGCACACAGACACATACGGAGAAAATTACATGCTCTTAACACTTTAACCGGCTTTTTGCTACTTGCGCCAAAAATCCAATAAGCGCGTGTCTCTCGTCTGAAACGCGTTGACTGCCCAACAAATATTACACATACGCCGCGTGGCCGCTAGTGAAACGTCCAGCAGGCACGAATGTCAACAACGAACTGAACAGCTAGCATCGCCACTGCCGTTCGTCTGATTTGGCCGACGATCTGACGGCGCATGCGTCACTTTTACTCAATGAAAAGCTTCAAGCCAAAACTAATACCGAAAAAACAACAAAAGACGAAGCGCTGCATACTTTTCGGAGTGCTCCGTGTAGCCTTGTTGCTTGGTGTTGTTGCTGCTGCTGCTGCTGTTGCTGTTGTCATTGGTGTTGTCGTTGTCAGCGCCAACATAATCATTGGCGCGTGTTGCTCACTTGTAGGCAGACAAGCAGCCACGGCAGCCGGGCCGTCAGGCCGTCAGGCAGACGCAAAACAAAAACAAAAGCCTTTTACAAATCGCGCAACGTCATGTCAACGAGACAATCAGACAAATGCCACAGTTCCCTCGACTCCCCCTTTCGTCCGGCTACCCACTCTGACCAGTCCGCTTACGCCTTCAAGCTGCGTCAATTGTCTGGAGGGCTTAACTTCTTTCTATTTTTTTTTGTTTTTTGTTTAATTTCCTTTATCAACAAGAAGGCAAACGAGTTTTGCTGCTGCTGCTGGTTGTGCGTGGGAGTATGTCTGTGCTATGCATGAGTGTGTGCGTGTGTTTTCCTCGAAGTGTGCCTCGTTATCCTGTCAATTGTCATTGGCTTGTTGCGTCTGCCGTCTGCCATCTGCCTGACTGCCTTATCGCATGCATGTCTGCAGCATGGGCAGGTGGAAGCCATTGTAATCGCCAGTTAATGTTAATTTGACAGTGTATCTAATTCAGCGTCTCTTTTCTCCGATTAAAAATTGAGCCCTGTATGCTAGTAGTGAGTGTGCTCGACTAGCAGTTACCCTGTAAGCTTTTAGTGCTTTGGTTTATGACTTAAGTCTGCTGCTTGATTTGTTGTTATAGTTGGTTTGGATATTGGATTGATTTTCTTAAGTTATATAACCATTAAATTGTATATTCAAGGTATATTGTTGCTCTTCTAAGTTTGGCTTTCCATTGCACAGAAGTTGGTGAAGAGAAGGTTTAGATTTGGGCTTCATTCTATTCACCCAAAAGCCGCTTTTCAGCCTTGATCTAAATTTGCAGGTTAGCAGACCTTTTGCCCTGCCCATAGCTCGCTCTCTCTCTCTATCTCCATTAGTCTCTGTCTCTTTCATCGTTTCTCCGCCTCTATTTATCAGCTTTTAACTATCATCTAAAGGCTAATTTACAAATTAAATTGCTTAGTCCAGCATTTGAATGCATTTTGCATTGAGGCACAACGAAGCGTTGCATGCCACAAGGACGCACGGCCCTAACTATTCTCACTCCTTCAATTTGCAGCACTTATCAGCAACTTTACTTAACCAAATTACATTGGCCAAACACAGGAATACAAAAGCAAGCCAAGTCCCGCTCAATATCTGAGAGCAGCATGCAAATACTTTGCGGTCTTTTGTATTCAAAATTGTGGTTATCAGCTTGTTGGCAAACAAAATAAATTATGCAAAAATTCACACACAGACACGGGCAGTGTGAGGGAGCCACTTGTTGGCAAAATTCATTTTTCGTGTTGACTCAATACGAAATATTTGTTATTATGGTTTTTAATGCGTTATTTATTATGAAAATCTGCCAGCTTAGAATTTCATTTAAACTTTGGCCGTCGAGCTGCCAAGAGGCCAAAATACAATTTTACAATTTCACAATCTGTTCGTTTATGTATTAGAATCTTATAAATAAGTATTATGCCCCAACCACAGAGCCACTCTACAGTTTTGTAGTTTACGTTTCGGTTTCGGTTTCGGTTTTGGTTTCGGTTTTGGCCTCGGTTCTTGGCTAAGCCGTCGACATGCTTTTTAATCCCTTTTAAATTGATATTGTAATTGGGTTTCGTGTATAGTTATGAATTTCAATATGTCGACTGGGCCACACTCCCAAAAACTTTATACAAACACACACAGACACACATTTCATTGTATGTTTGTCAATCTGAGTAAACGAATCGCAAGCCTGTTGGCCATTGAATTATGGTATTAGTTGCTGTTGATGCTGAGCAAATTGTTTCGGCTACACTCGAGCTGCACAGCTTGTAAGCTGAACCCGAAATAATTTGTGGTCGAGAGCAAAGGATCTGTAATGATTATGTACTATGAATTATTGAAATTGCAGATATAAGCAATATTTCATAAGTGAGAACTTTTAGCAGGAATAATTTAGAACTGGAATGCATATTTTGAAATCTGTGGTCAGACAATCCAAATTTAAGGGGCAAACATAAAGCAAACATTAAAGAAAATTGAGTTAGTCAATTAATCTTTCAGTCAATCAATCAGTGTCTGAGTCACTCTGTCAAGAAACCTATCAGTTAGTAGTCAATCAGTAAGCAGCCAATCAATCAGTTTGTCAAAACATCTAACAATCAATTAGCTAATCAATCTGTAGTCAGTCAGTCAATCAGACAGTTAGTCAAGACAATCTATTAGTCAGTCAATCAGTGGTCAATCATTATATACGTCTATTTTCGATTAAGAAAACAACGAATCTGCTTAATCATCCATTCCATCACTTAGTCAATCTGTCTTTCAGTCACGAAATCTATTAATCATGTAAAATATCGAACAATACGCAGTCAGTTCGTCAGTCAGGCAATAATCTAGTTATTCCAATCAGTCTGTCAATCAATCTGTCTATTAAACAGCTGTGAGTCAATAAATGAGTCAAATCGTCTGTCATCTGGTCAGTGAAAAGCCTGACAGTCAATCAATACTCGCTCTATCAATCAAGAAATTTGTCTATCACAAAGTCAGTTATTCGCAATCAACTCTTCTATATAAATATAACTAACAAAAAGTTAATTTTCAGCTTTGTTGCACTTACTCCAAAAGCTTTACCTTTATTATCAATCAGTCAGTCAATCACTCAATCATGCAACAAAAGGAAAACTTTTGAATATATAGCTAAAAAACTCACTTTCAAAATACAAAATTCTATCAGGTCAGTTTATTCATATTCCCAACAGTTTGTTCATTAAACAAAATGTATAAAAGCCAATAAAAAACTTTGGAAATAAACCCAAAATAATAAAACAAATATTAAAGCCAAATAGAATCCATAAATTCGACAAAAAATTGTCTAAACGCACATAAATATGCCAGATCGAGGCGAAGTTTATGAAAGTCAGTTTCAGTCGGAAAAATAAATAATTTCTAGGCACTAAAAATCTTCACACCTAATTTAATGCTTCGCTTAACTAATTATAATAGAGATGGAGCAAAACTTTTCTCGGCAGGCAAAAATGGGGCAGTTGGGCAACTGGGCAGGTGGCTGACAAAAATCTCTTGATTGCACTTTGGGGACACATTTTGAGGTGTGAATTTTACAGCAAGCCGCTCCAAAACGAAAAGCCAAAAGACGTTTACGCACTTGGCCACCCAATTGGATTGGGCCTTTAGGGTTTTTAGTTACAGCTACGCTTGCCGTGCGAAGCTGCGTGTGTTTTATAAAGCACCTGCTTAACCCTTAATACACAGCCAACGAGCACACACAAAAAAAGCAAGCTAGCAACGTGGCAATAAAAATAAATCCCTATTCAAGGTGCACAGGCACAGGCCCAGACGGAGCCGGAGCCGGAGGCGGAGGCAGAGACCTGAGGCCTGTTCACTTTTGGGAACTGCAGCGGCAAGCAGATTATGTATTTACAGCCAGATAACTCCCATTGTCGTAATGGCAAAGTTTTGCTACCAGCCTGTTGTTGTTGCTGCTTTTGTAATAAGGTAACAGCCTAGATGATTGCTAGCAACTGTTGCCGACCTCCCCATTGACCCTTGCCCAGGACATAGCAAACTTTATGCTGTGTCAGCTAAGTTTACTCAAGACAAGGCCGAGACCTCTGGGTGCATGTGTGTGTCTGTGTGTGTCCGCCATTTTGTTTATCTGCATAATAAACAGTGCTAAAATTATTGATGCCCGCATTTTGGGCACGTTCACGTCAGCAGCAGCGGCAGGTAAATGGCTAATGGCATAAAAAGGTACGACCCAATTGCCATTGTTAGCTTTCAGCATCATCGAAAGCTCAGCTAAAGTTGGCTAAATCAGAATATAACTTGAATTTAGAATTTAAAGCAGAACCATTGATTGGCAAGTTAAAAATAATCCCTATTTCATGCAAAGCTCAATTCATTTCGAATTCAAATGGTCTAAATACGTCAAGTCTGATTAGGTGAATCGCTAGATAAGGTTAAGTGGGCTCTGAGCTAATATATTAAGCTGCCGTGACTATTCTTTTATTTTTCATTGAATTTACTTGAGTAGCTTGATTGATGGCACTTGAGAGAGTATGAGCTATGGAAACGAAGGGCAATGATATAATTGATAAAGCTGCTGATCAAATCTTTAATGAACTTGATGTCAGAGCTTTAAAATATGTAGAGCTTGCTATGAGTTCTAAGTCAACTAACACAAATTATATAAATTTTCATTGCAGATTTTACTATATTTAAATCGAAAGGTTCCACACATCTTAAATTTCTTCATGTTTCTTTCATTCTTCACACTGCAGACCCAATCAGATTTATGTCACTTGAAAATCAATTTCAATTTACTTAGCTTCATTATGCAGGCCATGGTCCGCACTTAACTATAATATCATTAGTTTCTAGCTAACCTTCAGAGCTTGCCCCAGCATCCAACAGCCGCTTTGTTACTTCTCATGCAATAGTCAAAATGAAAAATTCATATTTTTGCAAAATTTCAATGCCAAGCTGTGAGCTCTGTGCTCTGTGCTCCGAGCTGTGTGTAGTTTGCTTAAAATATTAAATACGCCGTTTGTTAATATGCCGTATGTTACATAATAAAGCAGATGACATTCGTGTCTGTCTGTCTGTCCGTCTGCCTCGCTGGATGCCAGTGCTGTGCGGCTTTTTGCTGCTGGCGTGCAGTCAAAAATGTCACAGCTTCATGACGATGCTGCCCCCATCAGTCGACATTCTCAGCCCCCAAACTCTGGCGCTGTCTGTGTGCCCAGGTCTCTGTGCCCAGCTCCATCATCGCCTCATTCTTAGTCTCGCTCACAACATTTCTCCCAGTTGCCATCAGCCCAACTCCCAGTCTTTGCCTTCAGTCTTTGTGCCTCCCATCACATTCCATCTCTCTCTCTCTCTCTCCCTTGCGCTCTCTGCCCGCTGCTCACCTTTCTTTGGGCTCATTTTGAGTGCAAAATATTATTTAATGCCGCCTGACAGTTGACTGAAGCAATATCGTTTACATGCATTACATATCCCGCATAACATGTTGGATGGCTGCTGGAACTGGCACTCAAACAAATTGCTATTAGTCACAGTTTGAACTGCAACAACTCAGCGCGTTAATAAATAATATAGAGCTTAATTAAATTAACACGAAACTTTACAAAACTTTTTGTACAAATAACCAATAAATTCTCTTTGAATCTCTCACTATCTCTCCCTCCTCCCTCTCCATACAATAAAATTTCATATGCAGCTCCTGAATTTGTATGCACAAATAATATTTTAAATAATTTGCAAAAGAAAAAACTCGTATTCAATATTCTTTAAACAAATACAAACAAAAACATTTTTTGCTTTCTTTTTCCTTTTTTTTTTTTTTGTTTTTTGTAAGTTATTATTTTTCTTTTATTTCGATTCGATTAACTGGGGGAAAACAAATTGGTAACTGCTTTAGCTGCAAAAGGTATAAAAACAATTATTTATGTTCGCTTGGCAACCAAATGATTTTTGTTTTTATGAATTTTTATATTCCGCTCCTTTTTTGCTTAACTTTTTATGTGCATCGTTTGACAGCGAGAAAAACGTTAAATAAACTCACGGCTCACTTAATTGAATACAAAATGCGGCTCAAACAAGAAGATAATTGACAAATTTGAGCATTGAACAAATGCAAATTGTTCGGCGTATCTCAATCAAATGATCAGAATAAAAATGAAAATATATAAAATAAATAACAAACAACAATATGTAATAGGAGGAGAGAATAATGCAGTGAAGCTGAGGACAAGAGAGAGAGGAGAACAGAGGGGCTGATGGGGGACTGAGCGAGAGACAAAGGGAGCGATAAGAGTGAGGGAAGGACAAAGAGAGAAACGGAAAGGACAAGAATGAGAGATAGTAGAAGGAGGAGAATTGCAGAAAGAGGAAACACAGGCAGCCACAGAGAAGCAGAGTCAGAGAGAGCCAGCCATAGTCAGTCAGAGTCAGCCAGAGTCAGCCAGAGAGAGTAAGAGCGAGAGAGGCAGAGAGGGAGAGAGTTAAAGAAAGAAGAGAGAGTGATTTAGAATGCGAAATGAAGTGAGAGAGAGGCAGTAATTGAAAGACGGATAGAGAAAGGCGCAGAGAGAGACGAAGGGAAAGAGAGGAAATATCGAGAAAGAATGAAAAAGAAAGAGAGAGAGTGAGAGCTATGGTGAAACCTAGATAGAGGGTGAGAAAGGGAGAGCAGGAGGGAGAGATGAAACATAGACAGAGAGATAGAGAGAGAGAGAGATAGAGAGAGAGAGAGATATAGAGAGAATACTATGGAGCAAGACACAAGCGCAGAAAGAGACAGAAATATACAGTAAACAACATTTGAAATCTCTAACCCGAACTATGAACATATTTACCTTTTAGAAACCACGACCTTTAACCAAAAAAATTTTCCCTTGTTTGTCCATTCAGCTAAGAGTACAAAAGGCCTGGCTTCTATACAAGAAATGCATTCAATAAGTGCTATATAAATAGCGCGCATGATTGCAACAACATATGTAGGCAATACATCGAAACAATTTTATCAATTAAAGCAATTTCAATAACAAAAAGCAAGAAATTCTAAAAAAAAATTAATTTTTTTTTAGCACAAAACAAGAAACTATAAAAACTTATATAAAATTCGAATTACAAAAGCGCTTAATAATATTTAGAGAGTTGTATAAATGTGCGATGAAATATGTAACAAATTCCAGATATATGTCTATATATATTCTTAGATATATATTCCTGATCTGTATGAAGAGCTGGGTTGATATAAATTAAAACTAAAGTTGCCATTGAAGAACTTTCGCCAGTCTGATGAGCTTCAACTCACAGCTGTTATATATATATTATATATATATATATATTATATATATATGTCTATTAGTGCATTCAACCTTTGTCGTACGGCTGCTAATCATTCCTACTTGTTGACTTTTCAGCACACTATCCACAAAATGGTCCATCAACGAATCAATGGACTGTTGGGCATCGCGCGTTGGCCTGCATCCGTGTAGATTGAATAAAATTTCACGCTGAAAATCACATTGTCCGGCAACAAAAACAATTCCGTACCAGAGAAAGTTAAAAAACAATGCAAAACCCAACAAAAAAAATGGCAAAGAGTGCATTAGGCGAGCATGCACCACTAGAAAATACCCTGCAGTAAATAAAAGGCGTTGGTTTTCAGCATTTGCATTTGGCTATCGATAGAAGTTATATGTTCACAAGTCAATCATGCGCGCTTATCACATTTTTACAGGGTATTTCGCAGAAAAAGTTGCTGTTGCTTTTTTTAGCTGTGGCATGTTGATTTTTCGCTTCTGCTTCTGTTGCTGTTGCTACAATTCGTGTTGCTATTGCCATTGTCTCTTTTTATTGTTGCACGCATTTGAACATTCATGCCACTGATTGCTGCCACGCATAAAAAGCTCAGCGCGCAAACAAACACAGGCAGAACAATATGTGGAAAGCGTCAACCGAAGAATACCCTGTAAGCTGAACTGAAACTGAAACTTAGCAAGCATTTAAGCCAATAATGTTCTTTTAGATGGTAGCTAACCTTTGTGTTGGCTGTGAGAGTAAACTGACAGTATGCTAAGCTAGATGATACCCTGGAATACTAAAAATCTATGAGTTAAATTTTGAAATTGGTTTTGACAACATTCAAGCAATTAGATCTCGTATAAATTAGCAGAGTTCGTTTCAAGCAACTAAAGTTTAAATGTAGTTTGACTAAATAATACCCTATAATATTAAAAAACTTGGAATATGGGTAACACGAAACTTAATCAACATTTAAGCTGGTGATATAGTCTTACCTTGTTTAAACTAGCTTTTTAACTACTGCTCAACCTATATACCCCACTTGAATTGATTACAGGGCATCAGAATGGCCGTCATGGCCACCGCAACTGTCGCTGTACTCGACAGCAGCTGGGACTTCGATTATTTGGCCGAGAGGAAAACCACAGCAACAACATTTAATGGTCACATTGCGGACACTCGGCCCCGGATCTGGCCATCAATAATTGTTGCCCGCACCGGGCACAACGATTTTTTGTTTCATATTTTCTTTTAATCACATCGAATGTGTTTATATTTGGCACTTTGCTTAAACTCAAAATGGACAACACGCAGCCAGAATTTGAGTCACATCGTAGCACTGTCCCCGGGCATTGCACAGCTGCTGAGCAGAACGAGCTGCAGCTACAGTTGCCGCTCTGGACCAGCTCTGATACACATCCTGCACGCTCAGGCCATAACCGTCCATTAGCCAGCCTTGCATTTGTAGCGGAAAATCTTCGTAGACTGGCACTTGCTGCAATCAGAAGAAAGAAAGCAAATCTTGATTCATTAAGCGGACGAAACATAACGTCACAAAAATTTAATTTCCTGCACAACGTTGCGTATGAGCAATGTTCCACTTCACAAGTGCAACAACAGAAAATGAAATTAATAAAGGAACCGAGTTCAGACTGCAAAACGCAGCTAAATAGCAGAAAGAAAGAAAAAATAAAAAGGTTGCTTCACTTTTTTTCGTAGCTAATTAAAAGGGAAGCGAACGTCGACAGCTAGTTAATTGAAAGCTGTTGCCAGCAGTGTCAACGCATTTAAGCCATGTTTTAAGCACTCGCACACACAAGTATATTATTAAGTGCAGAGGTTAGCTTAAGGAGTTGCTCGCTGGAAGAGCTGAGATTTTATATAAGTTATCGTTGGATCTAGGTAGAGAAGGGGAAATAGGATCATTTCAGTGAGTGGAGACTCGCATTTAGGATTTATATAGTTAAGTTCTTGAGACGAACAAATGTTAATGAATTTCTCTTAAACACTGTTTCGTAGTCTGACTTCTCAATTTAACGAACACAGAATCCATTGCTTAGGGGAAGCAAAAGTTATGGGATTGAAGGCGGCTTTCACAGGGTAGCCTTAAGGGAATATTTGGCTTCAGACTTGTTTGCGCCTTCTTCTAGTTCAAGTGCCAGGCTAACAGATCTTTGAGCTGCAGTATCTATAAGCCTAGTCAAGCTGTTTGGGTTATCACCTAGACCTCCTAGATGATAGCACCTTGAGGACCAAGGAAACCAAGGAATGTCCTGATCTAAGGAAAAACTCTAATTCAAATCTGATCAATGCTTTTAGACAGACAGCCTACCTCGCCTAGACTTCCGGTTATATCTTGAGCTAATGTCAAATAAATTAGATAATCTTTCTCAAATATTACAAATTTTCGTCTAGACAGACAGCGTTATTAAATGAAAAGTATGTGAAAACTTCAGAAACTCCCTCTGCTCGTGCTGCTGTTACATCAAGGTGTTTGGCTAGCTGAGCGTGTGCTGCACTTCCGCTGACAGCACAATCACAGCAAGGTAAACGCTGCACAGTTTGCTGTAAGCCAGCAAAGCTGCGATGCGGGTCGACAAACTGCAGTCTATAAATTTTGCTTGCGCACGTTTCAAGCGATCATATTGAATGCGTTGTCCAAAATTCCTAGACCCAAGGGCATAAATCTACAGGGCAGTCGAGCAAACACTTGGACATTTTGTTAAGCATCACTGACGGGCTAATTAAAATTTGCCAATTAGACAGACAAACACTTGAGACACAGTGCAGCAGCTGGAGCACTGGAAGCAACAGCAGCAGCAGACCTTGGGTACGAACTTGAGGCAGGAGCAGGAGCAGTTGGACTTGGAGCCGATTAGGCGCAGTCGAGTGCAGCTTTCGATTTTGCCAATTTGTTCACTGTGGTTGGAATTATGCGGCGCGCAAACAACACGAAAGTTAATTAAAAATACATAAAAAAGGCGACTAAAAAAGCAATGCCGACTGCATAATGCTCGTGCGCGCAGCTATGTTTATTAGAAAAAAGCATAGTGTAGTTCACTTGCCAGGCTGCACTGTAAGCAACTAATTTGAACAGCTTAAAGTATAAGAATCTCCACTTAGAGGCAGTTTGAGCACGACACAAAACCAATATACTCTCTCTTCACTTTATGAACGTGTATTAAAATGTAAAAGAAATGCTTATCGCGCTAATGTCTGTCATAAAGCAAATGACAGCTTGTGTGTGTGGGCGTGGCAAGCGCATGTCCGCTTAATTATGGGCAAAAAACTGTCACGAGATTTTCGAGCGTCGCGTCGCGTCGCGTCGTTTGCTGAGTGCATGAAAAATGACGACGTTAAAAATGTGATAATTATTGCAACAATTTTTCCAAAGAGCAGCAAAAGAAGTAGAAGCAGCAACAGCAGCTATCTAAAATAACATAATTATTTATGGCAGGCAAGCGACGCCTTTGGGAGGGAGGCGACTCCAATAGCTATGAAAAGTGGCTCGAGCGCTGAAGCCGGAAGGCGAGCAACAACCAAGCGGAAGACCCTTGAAAAATTGTCCTCTTCTAAAAGATGTCCCTTTTCCACTCTCCCTCCCCTTCTCACCCCCTCTCTCTCTCTCTGTCGCTCTTTTGTTGTTATGTTAGATGCCACGCATAAATAAAGGCAAATTATTGAATGCCGAATCAGCAGCTGGAAGCAGGTGGCATCCGAACAAAACACTTTTCAATTAAGCAACTTGTCAGTAGGCCAAACGCAAAAGGGCTTAATACACTGCCTAAAGGGCATGCACGACTGTCGGCTACCCTGGCTGCCTGCTTAATAAGCCCTTAGCCTTAGAGTCAAGCAACTCAAAGAACTTGCCAAATATTTCGCTGGGCATGCAAAAATGTGAGGCACCCAAAAAATGTTTGGCATGCTGCTTCCTGCTGCTGCTGCGTCTTCTTTTTTTTGGGGCAAGCATATTTACGTTGCATGTATTTGCTGCTAACGAGCTGAAGAATTATGACTCCATTAGATAGAAGCCAGGCAGGGTTGGGCTTCAAGCAGGCTCAAGGACGCATAGTTAGCTTAAAGTTGCCGCCATTTGGCTTCTTTTTTCTCGGTGTGTGCGAGGAAATGCCGCCATTTTGTGCAGATTACGCTTTGATGAACTCGTAGTGAGGGCAGACAGCTCATGCAGCTAGCTGCCATACACATAACCAAAACCTAAAGCTGAATCGGAGCCAGTCTCGGCTACAGCTAGAGCTACAACTACAGCTAGAGCTCTCAGCTCTCAGTGCCATGGCGTAATGACAACGTCAACAAGATGCTGGCAAGATTGAATTTACCGAACAAACACTTTTCATTTGCAGTTGAATTAAGCAAAGTAATCCCTGGTGTATATCCTTGTTCATCTTTTTTTCCATCGAGTCAAGGACTTGGACGTGCCTGCAAACTAGCAACTCGGCAATTTGGCAAGAGCGCAACGCAAAGCCACATTAAAGACAGCCAGCAGCAGCAGCAGCAGCAAATGCAGCTGGATTTCAAGCAGCTCGTATAGACACTCGCAACAGCCGTTTAATGAGCAGCTAGAGATGAGAGCGTGTCGTGTCTTAATAGATGTAAATATAAATTCATCGGGAGTATAAGATTATGGCAATTTAGTGAAATTCTAAGAAGTCTGTCATGCATAGCAAGAGAGACCTTTGCATAGCCCTGAAGTATATATATTCTTGATAAAGAGCTTGTATAATAGTCTATACAACAGAAGAAAATAAACAAGAGGCCGATCTATATGACAGAAATGTTTCTATAACAGTTGAGTCTATATAACAGACCAGATATAAGAAATTAGTGTATATAGAAAAAGTCTATATAAGAGACAAATCTATTTTATAGTTATAAACAGTCTTTATAACAGTTGAGTATATATAACACATGAGTCTTTATAACAGCCAGACATAGCAAATTAGTGTATATAAGAAAAATCTATATAACAGACAAATCATATAAGACAAGTATATAAGTCTTTATAACAATTAGATCTACATAACCCTAACTCTTGGAAGTCACTATAAGGCATCAGTCGACACAACAAAATACTCTACATAGCATATGAGTTTGTATAACAGAGGAGTCTGCATAACAAATGTATAACAATGTGTATATATAACTAACTAGTCTATATAGCAGATAAGTTTGTATGGGTCTAGAGAACAGTTGAGTCTGTTTATCAGATAAGTCTACAGTGTGTGAGACTATCTAGCAGACAAGTCAATATAACAGATGAGTTAATATTACAGATTAAGCCATATAACAGTCGAGTCTATATAACAGACAAGTAGTGAGTCTATATCAATTTGTATAAAACAGGAATCTATATACAGGCGAGCCGATATAACAGATGAGTCAAGCAAATCTATATAACAATCAAATTTATAGATCCATATAACAAAGTAGTAGATAGTATAGATAGTATACTTATCTGTCATATATAATATATAGAAGAGATCAATGTTCATGCAGCCTGCACATTGACAAGATTTGATCATTATTCGATTACTATACACATCGTGTCACGACACGCACTCCGCTCCAGTAGCGCAAATATTCGTAGCTAAAAACGCGGAACGTCGAGTGTCAAATATGAAAATTAAAAGTAAATAGCCACGCCGAGCTTGGAGCGTGAGGCATGAGGGTTTTAATGCGCGCGGGCTTATCAATATGGAATATTTAATAGACCAGAGAAGCGTTCGAAATAAAAACTAACTAGCCAAGGCGAGGCCGCTGGGGCCAAACAAGCTATAAAAGCAGCAGCTGCTGTTGTTGTTGTTATGCAAAAATATTTGCATGATTCTGGACAGTCTAAAAATTGAAGGCAGCTGTCCCGAGGATAAGAGTAGCAGGATCAGAGGGAGCCGAAGGAGCAGCTACAATTTTGCAGACACAAAGAGCCAACCAAATCAAAGTAAAGTCCAATAGCATTTCAGCTTCTTCCAGCTCTCTGGCGAAAACAAGGCTAGATGAGGCTAGGCCAGAGCAGGCTACAGGCCAGAGGGCACATTCACATTCATTTATGCCGGCAATAATTAGAAAGTTTCCTTGGAGAAATTGCTTTTTGCACTGGCAAACTGTTGAGCTGATTGGACTTGGGCGATGGCAAAGCAAGAAGTAATCAATAAGAGCGATTAACGCTGCCGATATGAAGGGCATTACCCATAGCAGCTACCAGATTCCAATTGACTTGCAATGCTTACAACAATTTTAATTGCCAGCACTTGAACTCAATTGCTTCAATGACGAGCCAATACAATAATATTGTCTACATAAATATAATTATAAATTTTAAATTAAAATTTGCGAAAAAGGCATTATTTTTGCCTTGGAAATACGATTTTATAGAAATATTTAATTAAAATGTTGGCAAATGAAAATCGTTGGGAAATTAAATTAAATGAGAATAAATAGTTTATTAAAAACTAAAGTAAGGCATCAACTGGTCTTGTGTTAGTGTTTGTATTCTCTGATACCAAATTTAAATCAGGTTTCACTTGAGAATCTCAGAGACAGATGAGCTGCCTTAAATCTCTTTGAGATTCTCACAAATTCAAGTAAAGCTTTGCAGCTCTGCTTGAATTGTTTATGAAACATGTTTAAGCAAGACCCTTCTGTGTGATTCTCATAAACTCAATTGGACTTTCGGATTTTCTAACATTATTTATGAAGTATTTTTTCTCATGAAAGCAATGGCTGCTGAGAACTTCTCTAGTATTGACTATGAAGCATATTATCTATGTTTGCTATGTAAGGCTTTCGTAAGTATCCAAACATTTTAAAGTCTGCTTTCAGGTATCAGATATCGACAGGTATATAAATAGCTTACCTGCCACAAGTCACTAATTATGACAGTAGTGAAAGGCTTCGGCTACTCAATTGAAAGTACAAGTGAATGCCTAAAGGCGGTCACAAACTGATTAGATATTTAGATGAAGCGCCTTTCTATGCAATTCTCACTAACTCAAATAGCTTTAAGCTTATTTAAAATAGCTTATTAAATTTGAAAGTGTTATTATCTCCTTTGCTCTGCTCCCAAATTTGGATTCTTTTCTTTCTCTAACTCTTCTTCTTGACCTTTGTTGTTATGTGTGCTTTATTCAAATTTTGTTCACTCAACTGTATTTATAATTAGTCTAAATGCGAGTACAAATGATTTTTAATTTTTAAATCCCAGGCTACTAAGGAACACGCCTGCATCCACACAGAGTCTATAGCTCACTGTATATAGAGCTCAAAATAAAGTCCACCGCTTCAGTATCTCAGCTGAAATATGTTTCGGCACAATTCAGTGCACTGAGCTGACGAGCCCCGTTGACTTTAGTAAATGGAATTTTGGTTAGTGAAGCGTGTCCAGCACGTGGTCACGTGCCGCTGAACCCATTGCACTGACAGACATCTGAGCCGGAAAAAAGTTTTAAATGCCCCCAAAGCAGTAGGGGGAAATTCGCGTGATTTATGTTTTCCTTTTTTTCGCAGGGTCAGAGACTTTATTCGGTGCTCGATATGGCTTTAAGTGGCTCATACCTGAAATTCATTTGCCATGGCGTTCAGCCAGCTGGCGTCCACTTGCTGTTCCACAATCAACTCCTGCTCCTGCTCCTGCTCCACCTCTAGCTCGAGCCCTGGGTAGTTGCCAGAATTTATGGCCGTTGCTAATTGGTAGAGCAAAAAACCGCTGCGTGCTAAAAGACAAAAGAAAAGTAGCGGAAGATGAGCAAAAACTTGGCTTTCAAAAAATCTAAAATCTAAGCGATGTCCGCTAAGCAGCACTCGAGTCCACTTCGGGGCGAAGCTCATTAAGATTTTTCTTTGACTTTGACTGAGGTGCTTATTGCCTGTCTGTCTGTCTGTCAGTCCGTCAATTGCAATTGCTGTGAATCACAACAACGAAAAACTTACTTCACTTTCAGGTGATTGGCAAGTGAGTACATGAATCATTGATAAAGCGTATCAAATTGCAGTCATTAGACAAGTAACTGACTTTGATGGCCAAACAAAAGGCATTGCCATTACCATTGCCATTGCCATTGCCATTGCCGTTGCCGTTGCCGTTGCCATGGCCTTCCATGCGCATTATGCCCAACTATTGATAGCAGTCTGGCAATCAACGGAACACTCAAGTTATTCTCTCTGATGAGCTGAGCTCAAAAAAAAACACGACCAAACCCGACAAGCAAGCAGGCAGTCAGCCAGGCCGCCTTTGCTCCTCTCTGGTAACGGAAATCAAATTGTTTGATAATCAAAAGATATACGCAAAAGAAAACGAAAGAGAAGAAGGTAAGTGAAAAAGCAATTGCAATTGCCAAAAGGATTTTCGCTAAGAACAAAATCAAAAGGAATAGTTGTACTTGCAATCCGGAAATCTAAGGGTAGACAAAGAGTGCTCTGCTTATGAATGTATATAAGTATCTTAGAGGTCACAGTAGAATTATACTCTTTAGCCAAGCTGCCAAAGTCAAAAAATATATATGTATATTATATATATATATAATTATAAGCATCGCTCTTCTATGCAATTCTCATAACGAACGTTAGCTTCATCAGTTGCCTCGACTTAAGTATTTCTTATATCAAACAGCTGCTCTTAACTTCCATATATGCTGCCACTGTAAAGGAAAACAAGTTATAAGTAACACCCTTCTATGCAATTCTCATAAATGCAGTTCCGTCAAAGAAATCAATTCAATCGAAGCCAAATAATTCAGAGATATCTTAAATATATCTAAGTCAAGTAAGCTATGCAGCAAAGGTTTAAGAAGCGTACAGCTTAGCACTGCCCTTCTTTGCGATTCTCATATTTTACTATCTCTGTATAACTGCTTATTATTATCAAAAAAAAACCTGCTCTAGGCAACATTCTTCCCTACACAGCTCGTATCTCTGACACACAACAAACGCTCTTCTCTGCAATTCTCATGAGCTCAACTCGAAGCATCAACTTCAGCTGCAGCTCAACAAGTAGTATTATGTGAAAGCAATTCAACCTATACCGTCAAATGAACGTAATCTTTTTTTCTTTCAGCAAGTTCGCCTTGTGCCCAAACTAGTTTTCCACTTGATTCCATTCGAGTTGCATTTTCCTGCATTTTCCGCTGCATTTATTCATAATTGGACATTAACTGTTCAGCATGTGTCTCAACTCAGCTATTTCATACTTTTTTCATTTGTTTTTTCCGTTTTCCTTTTGCATTTTGAAAATCAGTTTATAACTTTCCACACTCATTACGCATACGACTCGTTGACGTTAATCATACGCCATGTTCAACGCGCAAAAAACTTTTGCACTCGCTCCCTCTCCCGCTCCGTGTGCTTTTCTGTTTTTCTCACTGTTTCCATCTCTCAGTTTCTTCTTTGTTTCCAAGCAATAAATCACATTTAAAGTTGAGCAGCGCCAAATAAATGAGACAACTGACCCAAAATGTCAGACAGCTGCGAAAGCGAAAACAAAAAGCCAAAAGCGAAAGTTGTTGTTGCTGTTGCCATTGTTGCTGTTGCTGTTGAGCTGTTGCATAATAATATTTACATTTTTCCTTTGCTCTTGCCATCCTAATGGCAACTGGCTGGCATTTAGCCGCGTCGCGCCAGTTTGCTGTGGCATAACTGTGTTAAGTGTTATCAGCGACGCTTAATGATGCCAAGAATAAGCTCGGACATGCACTCTCGAGCAGCGGCAGCTGCTGCTGTAAACAAACCAGCAACAACTGCGAGCGTGACAAATGACACCAGCGCGACATCAAAATGCTGCAACGGAAACGAGCCAAAAGGCAGCAGCACACATGCTGGCAACAGCCAAGAACAGTTAAGCGGATACAGCAATTGTCAAGTGGCACAGTAGACGAATGACTAAAAATAGTCGAGAACGACGCACAATGCAAACAGAAGCAACAGCAGCAGCAGCGGCAGGAGCAACAGTGAACACTGCTTACGTGAGCAGACCGGAAAAGCAAAAACTGACTTAGGCAGGCCAAGCACAGTTCTAACAAGTGCTGCAAACAAAAGTTGCCCTTAAACTGTTTCAAGTTGAATAAAACAGAAATTCCTCATGAAAAAAAGACTTAACTAAATTAAAGCAGCTGCTCTTGAAAGCAAACGACTGTGTTCATACTCTGCTTGAGCCCTAATGGCAGCTGAAATCTTCTGGACTTTGCTATTGTCACTTGGACTGCGACTTCAGGCAGTCACTTTTCGAGTGTAAACTTCGTTTTTCTATATTTTCAGAAATTAGAAAAGCTTTTTGTGCCGCTTCCACACTCTATGTGAGTGTCTTCTTCAAGCTCTTTCTACTTGTAAGAGATTCGGTTATTACTACTTTAACTATGAGTCTGGGCAGTGTCTTTCATGCTGCAACCTTTGATCTCTCTTTTTCTCACTGAATCTTTCTGCTTTTATCTCTCAATCTGTCTCTCTCTTTCTTCATGCTGTCGCTTCCCCTTCTCATTTGCTCTCTCATTCTAAGTCTTACGTTCTCTGTCTCATTCTGTCTCTCTCTCTCTCGCTCCGCTCCTCTCTCTGACACTTTTTTTTCGCTCATTCGCCTTCTTAGTCTTTCTTTCTTTCACTCTTTACTTTGATCTCTGTATCTTTCTGTTTCTCACTCTATCTATATCTCTCTCTATTTCTCTATCTCGCAAACTCTCATTCTTCCTCTCTATCCCTTTCTCTCTCTCTTAAACCTCTCTCATTAAAATTGAATAAAGCAAAGCCAAGCAATCTGAGCTGAAATCCCTAACTAAGTACTACATAATTTATATCTATTAATTCTTACAGCATTCCTCACTAGTTCATAATCACTCACTCTTTAGGCAGTCTTCACTGTGCTCATCGCTGGCTGTTGCCGTCTCGCGCTCGCTCATGGAATGCGCGAATGACACTTGAGTTATTTTTGGGTTTTGCGCGCTGTTGCGACCCACAAAAACTAAAAAACTGGTCCAACTAAATGCAGCAAAACGAAAACCAATTACGAATTCGTTGACTTTTGCCACACACACACAATCGTAATTCGAGTGGCATGCCACAGTGCGTATGCGTGATAAACAAGCCCTAATTGCATGTGGGTAGCAGAAAAACAAGGTAAAGCTTACCTGCTGCTGGCACCTGGGCCAGCATACGCTCAGCTGGCATCAGTTGCACAGTTTCCCTGTCCGCTAATGAGGCACTCGAAGGGCCTAGAGCAACACTCGCTGCGGCAAGCAGCAGAGCAGTGAGCGTACGTAACGCATACGCCATGTTATCCAGCTGCAAAAGCAAAGCACAAAAAGTTACAACAGCTGCTCCACTCTCTTCGCTTAACATAATAAATAAACTCTATTCATTCAGTTGGACAGCGAGCCATTCAATTGTGTCCGGCGCATTAACAACAATGCACTTAACACAAAACCTGGCATTGTGCTCTGTGCTTCGACCCTTTCAACTGGCCCGAGGCACAGACTTCATTGTTATCCTGTCACCTTCGCTGACAGCTGCAATACGTATTAGAGTCGGCGTGAGAGCTTTGTTACAACTAATATTCTGCTAACGATTCACTTTGACAAATTTATCGATAAGTGGGCAAAAGTAGCTATCGAAAATATAAATGAAACTAAATTCAACTTTTGGAGACGCTAGCTGGAAAGACGTACGAGATATGGTCTGATAACTTCAGTTAATCGATTTCATTGAAGCAATAAAAGTTATCGATACTTCGATACAGTAGACGAACCTCTTTGAAGTCTAGAATAGATCAAGTCTAGCTCAGATCAAACCGTTTTTACATACGGACAGTCGGCTGAATAGACAGACGGACAAAGCTAGATCAGCTCGGCTGTTGACTCTGATCAAGCATATTTATATATATATATATACTTATGCTATCTGCCACGCCTCCTTTTGGCTGTTACATACACTCAAAGAAGACTATTATACAAACAAGATATTTGCATTTTTAATGGAAAAAACTAGCAGCATATGGAACCGGAAAAAATTTGATGAAAACAATTTTTTTAGAAAATTAATCGAAAATCGATCAAAAAATATCAAAATCTATCACAATGTGTTATAATTGAGAAATGTTCATCGCAAAGAATTTTACATGCATATACTATGTATATATAGAAGATAGTTATATGTCTCTATATGTATATATTTCCTAAGATCGCTAGTTCGTTTCTTGCTGTTCAACACTAACTCAAATCCAAGTAATCGATAAGTACTCATCGAAAATTGTAAAAAAAACCTATACAACATATAAATCAGAGTATATATAGAATACATATAATAAACTACTTCATGGAGAACTCGTTGATACGTTCAATAATTATTCCTAAACATTTTTTATTTAAATTAAATTTTTCTAGAATTTTCAGATTTCTATATCGAATCCTAAAGTTTCTTCAATATATGTTATCGACTTTTTGTACATTGATTCACTTTCGATATAAAATTGTATCTATCTCAAGCTATATCTAACAGAAACTGAAAGGAAATTTGTGTTCTACATCAGCTGCCCTCTAGCATCCCATTCCACAGGCAACACGCTGCAGCAGCATCAGAGATGTTCGCTTGCTCTTGCTTAGGGGCTTATTAACGCCTAGCTAGATCAGCAATATGACGCACGAATCTCTTGGCTTCGCTTGTGGAGCACTTTGGAGTGGGCGGAAGATTTATGAGGCGAGCCGAGTTGAAGGGCCTTTCACTGTTTTGGCAGCAATTAAGCAGCTTAAGAGCTGGCACCCGGCTAAAACTTCAAGTTGCATTTTGCAATTTGCCAACTGCCAAATGTCGAACGAGCTGTCTATTTGTATAGAAAAGGGTGGCGAAGCGGGGGCGTGTCGTGCCACCCACTCGAAACTGTAGCCACTGCAAATTGCATTGTTCACTCGCTGGCTGCTTTGTAATTTAATGAATAAACGAGCGATTCACTACAAATTTTATAAGAAGCAAAAAAAGGAATACGAACACAGCTGTGTGGGCGTTAGGCAGGCGTGAGGGCGTGGCTGATTGTACACATGCCAGCCACGTTTAATGTGCGCAACTAAAGTGCTTGCCTCGCCTCGCCTCGCCTCACCTCGTCTGTCGTTGACAACAAATGCAGACAGGAAACAGTTCCAGGACGCAGCGCCTGCCACGCCCAGCCGCCCACACACACACTGCTGTCGCTGCTGTTTGCTGTCTCTGCGGCCTGACAAAACAAACAAGCAACGAGGAATTGTAGTTCGCTCCGTTGTTGTGCTCCTACAGCAAAGACGATAACGAGCTGTGGAGCCAAAGAGGTGCAAGCAGATTTTTTCGGTTAGCCCCACAGACAAAAGCGCAATGCTTCCGCCCTCACTCACTCCGCTCGCTGCCAAATGAGAGTTCTCGAAAGCAAATTCAATTCAATTTCACTCACAGTCCCAAAAGTTCTTAATAGACCCATCAGAAAACTCAGTTTAGCAACAGATTTGAAAGGCGAATCAGTCACGAATTCCATTTCCAAATGGCTAAATCGAAATTGTTTTTATCCCTTGGCCCATTGCAGTTGCTGGCAAATTGTTGTTTATGCCATGCGCCACCTAAAATCTGAACTGTCTGCTCTATTAGGAGGAGATCTTTCAATGTGATTTAGCTTGGATTCAAAAATAGCTAACTTCCTGCTTGACCTATCTCTCTCGGTCTCTCTATGTCTGTATATATATTTATATATATATATATATATATATATATATATATATATATATATATATATATATATATATATATTTATATATATATGTCTGTCTGTCTCTGTCCCTCTCTCGCTAGCTCTATCTTTGTCGCTCACTCTCACCCCAGCTCTTGCTTCTAATCTTCTCTTGCTTGCTAAGTCTCTCTCTCTCTCTTTTTCTGTGTCTCTCTCTCTCACTCTCTGCCTCTCAATCTCTCTCTCTCTCTCTCTCTCTCAAGCTTTATTTGTCGCTCTCTCTCACTCCACTCACTCACTCTTTTTTCTAATCTTCTCGAGCTGGCTTGCTCTCTCTCACTTACTCTCTTCCCGCGTCTCCCTATCTCGCTCTCTGACTCCCATTCTCACTCTCTCTGGCTGTCTCACTCTCTCTTTAGCTCTCTCTCCTTATCTCTTACTCTTTCTCTAGCTTTCTGTCTTCTTCTCTCTGTCTCTATCTTACGCTCTTTAAGCTACCCTCACTCCATTTCTGTCTCCTGCGCCTCTTTCTAATTTTCTCTCACGCTTTCCTTTTCCTCAATTCTATCTTTCAGGCCCACTCTCTCCCTCCTTTTCATTGCCTGACACAGCCTGACTTGCTGTGTCTTTTCCTAGTTTCACTTCATCACCAACCCACGACCTTTCTATGCGATTCTCAGTCAATTATTTCGACTTAAATTAGCTGTTAAATCATAGAATGAGTTCGGAAATAATGAAGTACAAGAAAATTGTGTTACTCAATCCATTCACAGGGTATTTGTCAATCAGGCGCACTCCCAAACTATATCCTTTTTCTCTTTGCCGCTCTCTCTCCCTCTCTTCCTCTTGTCAAGGGCTTTTTGCAGTTGTTTTCTTTTTATAGTTGTTGCTGCATGCAATCCAGCTATTAATGAACTGAGAGCTTAAGGACAGGTGTGTGTGTGTGTGTGTTCATGTGTGTGTGTAAGTGCACAATTCGTTTTCTCTTTTTGTTTTGCAACATAAAATTTAATTTTACACCTGGCTATCTCTTTATTAAGAGTTCATCACACACACACCTTTGCACACACACACAGACACTCAATGTTCGTATGTACCGCTAAATGTGGCGTCAACTGCCGTTACTTTTAATTGTTAGTGCCCAAAAAGCTGAAGCGCGACTGAGCGGAACACAAAAAAACCTCGCTTACAAAAATAAAAGTAAAAATCATGAAAAAGAAGAGGAAAAAATGATATTAGTGATAAAAAGTAATTGGCAGACTGAAATGAAGTGGAATCTATGCCATGCTGAACTTTGATTGAAATTTAAGAAATCAATGCCAGAGACGATACAACCCCTGCCACCGCCGCCCTCACCTGCTAGTGCTGCTGCTGCTGATGATACCGAGTGATAAGGGGCGGCACTGATAACAGCGCGGCACTCCAGAGCGACAAATGAGATGTTCAGCTGCGAGGGCTCCCAGTTGATAAGGTAGTTGAAAATTAATATGCATTAAGTGTTGAATGTTCCACTAATTTAATGGAACGAAACAATCTGAATTAACTAGGGCCAGATATAGATACCAAACAAGACGACTTTAGTATATATTTTAGCTAAAGAGTGCGAGTTAGAGAGCGACTATAGAGCAGCTGCTTAAGGTAAGCCCAAAGTGGATTCTGATTGGAAATGAAAGCCTTATAAATGACAACAAGAATAACGGATTCTCTACGTTCCAATGAAATATAAGTAATATATATATTTATAATTATATTTATATAAACATTATTTAAGTGGAGTGAAAAATATTTCGAAAACATTATTTTATTTAAATAATTTTTATATTCACTTTTTTAAGTTAACAAACTGCTCAGACTACCCTCTCATATAAGGTAGAGTCTTCTCGCCAGGCTCGCTTTTTGCCGTTACTCTTTTCTCACTCGCCTTTTGTTGACTTTTAGTTTGATTTTCCGCCACTTTTTCCTGTGCTTGGCCATTTCTGCATTCCATTTAATTAATTCAAATGTCGAAATAATAATTTCTGCTATTTACTCGTGGCAATAGATAGGTCCATCACGATTTCAATTTGCCTTCACTCAATTGCCGTCGTTGTTGTTGTCTGTTGCCTTGGCTGAACTTAAATGTTGAGCCTTGGGCGCCAATTTGCCTGCAATTGGCATTCAAGGGAAAAAGCGTAAGAGAGAAAGAGTGAGAGGGAGAGGGAGTTAGATAGCTAGAGATTTGTATCTTGGGAAACAATTTTAAATGGCGCACAAAAATGCCGGAAACCAGACACAAAATGTTAACGGAAAAGGAAACAGGCGTACGAGCAGTGGATGCCACACACTCACACACACATACACATATATACACACACACACAGGCAATGCAATTTGCATGCGTGCGTGCGTGTATGTGTGCTAGCCAATGAATGCTTAAGCAAATCAACTTTATGTAACAAAACATAGCTATACAACTAATAGTTCTGTTTAATATTTACTTAATAATAATTGAAATATTTCCTTACTTTTAATTTAATAAATTATAAACAATTTCTCAACAAATTTAATATATTCGAAAAAACTCAACAGTTGCGGCGCTGTTGAGCGACGCTGAACGTATACTCGCAAGCGCCATCTAGCGGGAATATTTATGAAATACACTCATAGTGCCAGCTCCGTGGCAAACCAGTTCCGTTCCACGCGCTTGACCAATTTTAGTGTATTCTTAGTCACTGCTGCTAAACCAGAAATCTAATAAGAAAAAAAGTGAAAATAACAAAACAAATGCGATAAATTTTGTTAAAAAAACAACGCAACGATAACTGTGCGCAATTGCATGGCGCGTTAACAACAAATTGCGTTCGTGCGAGAGTAAAAGTGCAGCGAATATATGTACATATGAAGACGACACCAGACAAATAAAAATAAAATATAAAAGAAGAACAAAAATTATAAGAAAAGACGACGAAGATGAACGAAGAAGAAGAAACGACAGCAGCAGCAGCAGCAGTCGAATCGTGATGATAAGTTTGTGCGAGTGCGGTGCAACGAAAATAACATACATAATACGTGTGTGTACATAATACACACACACATGAAAGCGCCTTTGCGTATGTGTGTGTGTGTGCGCGCGTGTGTGTGTGAGCGTGTGTGTGTGTGCTTGGTTTTTGGTGAAAAAAGAAACAACAAAAAGCCAAATCGGAGCACTAGCTAAATTTACATACATACAAACCAGTACAAATACATATATACATACAGAAATATATAACAAGGAAATGCAATACAATAACGGTAACGTGCACAGTCCGCTAGTGTCCAACTAGAGCAGCTGCGTACTGTAATTCCCTACTAAGAACCCCAATTGGCATCCCAACTAGAGCAATTGAAAGCAACTACTTGAAAGTGTCGCTGCAATAGAACAACGCGGTCAACTAGTCAAGCTGCGTGCTGTAATCCATGCAACAACCAATTGCAACTACAAACTGGACCAATTGGCACTAACAACAGCAAAATCAACAACAACAACGTACAGTTATTTAAAGTGTCGCTGCCGCTGCCGCAGCCGCAGTTGACGTCTCGGTGTGAAAAGAGGTCAAAGGCGCAACAAAAGTTTTTCATTTCGTTGGTAACGCAAAAAGCAACAACAACAACAAGAACACCAACAACGAAATTGTGCCCAAGCAGCTGAGCGCAAAATACAAAATAAAAAACGTCGTAGTTGTGCGTTAAAACAATAAACGCGCGCGTATGCGTGTGTGTGTGCGAGTGTGCCCCTCTATATATGTGTACGTGTTTGTGTGAGTGAGCAAACAACAACAAAAATCACAAATAGAAGAAGAAGCAACAGCAGCACAAAAATCTTGCGCGCGCGGCCATTAACAAAAATTCCCAACTGGAATAGCAGCAGCAGCAGCGCTCAAAACTCAAATTAGAAATCAATTTTCAAGCAGAACGCAAAATAAAATCTGGTTTTATCAGTCGACGCGCACAACAAATATATAAAAACGGCTGACAAGTTTTTTAGCGTGAAGAAGAAGACGCAGTAGAACAAAAAAAAACTTTGAGCTTAGAGCAAACAAAACAGCAGCTGGAAACGTAGAAAAAAGCGCCAAAAAATACATCTATAATATTTACACGCATTAATACACGCATATACATACATATATATATATATATATACACATATATATTTATATATACAGCCATAACAGAGCCATCATAGTTTAATACACACTTATTTTAATTAAGAAACTACAACAACAATAACAATAACCCAACGACAAAATTATTAAATTTGCCAATCGGCCACCAATTGGAGTTGCCAGCTAGTTGGCATAGTGAGAGAGTGTGAGAGAATTGCCGCTCGAGAGAGCGACTGCTGCTGCTACACCACACATAACAGAGGCAGCGTGCGAGCGTGAGCGAGAGCAACTGATTTTGTTTTCATAGCGCGCGCTTGACAAGTAAGTAGAAAAAAAAGGAAGCCCTCTTGACTGCCTGTCCCCCTCCCCCTTTTTGCAGCGTTCGTTTTGTTTTGCAGCCGGCCGCCACTTTTTTTTTGTTTTTTTTTATTTCTTTTCGGACATGCGGGCCTACTCTCACTCACATAGTTGCTGTGAAGCTCTCCCTTGTCCACCCCCTCGCGTGTTCAAACAAACAGTGCAAAATTATTCAAAAATTCCATGGCGCGCGCGCCGATAAAGCAACTGATAAGAACAGAACAGACCCAGCCAAGGGCCCGCCAGGTAGGTGGGGGGATAGGTAGCTCCAACTGCCCACACAGAGCAACCCTGAGCCTAAGTAAATTTTTATCGTTTCGGTTATTAAATCATTATTAAATGTCATTATCGATTCGTGGGAATGATTCCGTTGTTGTTGTTGTGCGCCTTCTATTTATGGCTTGCTGCTGTCCCCCTCTGACAGCCGCACATCAGCTGCAACAGCTGGTCATATGAAGAGATGGATGAGAGAGGAGAGAAAGGGAGAGGCTTAGGTCTACTGCTTATGGAATTCCTTTGCATCTGAGCTGAATCGCCAATCAGCTTTGAACCAATAGCTTTAAGCCAAATTCGTCTCTCGGCCAACACTTCCGACTTGTTAGTCATTCTGCCTGTTTGACATTTAGCTCGAACTGCCGCCTGATCGCTAGCTGGGAAATTGATTTTCAGGCAGGTTTTTGGGTTTTTAGAAAGAAAAAAAAACCAATATATGTAAATATACCATCCAAGCGTAAGAAAACTTATAAACTCTATTGGCTCATAAATTATTAATGGGGTTTTTTGTGCTTTAGGAGTGAGCGGGGATATTGGAAAACAGCCACAGCCACAGCTGAAACTTGAAAATAGGAAATTAGCTTGAAAAAACAACTGGCATTGGAGCTGGTTAGCTAGAAAAGTAAAGTTCATGCATATGTACTATATTTAAGTAGCTCAAATCTACTAGAAAAATACCATAATTAACTACTCTAGTTAGACGTGATGTATATCTGAAGTATTTGTCGCTGACGCCAGTCTGAATAATTCATAGATTCACAGCTGGTCAAAGCAATAGAGATTTCAGTTGTCAAGCAAATGGAGTATTCTAACCGTATTTTATTGTTAACTTGAGAAAAGTCGTTCTATTAAATCAATAAGATTTTTTATTTTGAGAAACTATTCTAGCGCTAAAGCAGTATTACTAATAGTATTATTAAATTCTGGTATACTTTGGTATGGAAATATATTACTTTTTAATATCTTGGTATTAGAATATAGAATATTCTAGTATGCCAATATAATACTAATTCAGTTTACTAGTATTTTAGTGTTCTAACGTTTCAGTTATTTAGTATTCTAATATTTTGTTGTTGTCTAAAGTTCTAATAATTCAGTATTTTATCTTCTAAGATTTTACTAATGCGGTATTTTAGTAGTTTTAGTATAAAATTCTAGTAATTTAGTATCCTCGTCTTTTTCCGCTATTACTTTGATAATCTGAGTTTATGATAAATGTAGTATTATAATTTTAGTGCGTTTACTATAATTCATATTGAGTATTTTAATATTCCGATACTCTAGTCTGCCGTCTAACCTCCGCGAACCTCATTTTAAATAACAATAAAAGCACAAAGTTTAAATAAATATCAGTACACATATACTTAATACTTATTTGACGACCATAAACAAATAAATCTGATTATCAATACTATTTATAGAGAGAGGCAGATTAAGGGAAAGAGATGGAGAGTGAGCGTGGGCGAGATAGACCAATTGAAAGTTGCAAGTCGCGCATTACTTAACGAAACTGTTGAGCCTTATAATTATTTATAGCCCACCCACAATGTCGCCTGTGCACTGATTTATCAGCAATATATATGTATATGGTATAAATATTTTAGTCACGAGAACGATTCAAGATCTATGCCCAATCCGCAGATAACAATTCATCCGACAACGCATGACTTCATGGCTCGATTGCTCTATCATTTATTCACATGTTTTCCTTATTTTTGTATAAAAACTGAGATAAAGCCAGGTATGTGTGTGTGTGTGTATGTGCGGGTGCGTGTGTATGGACGTGTCTTGTCTTCAGCGAACTGCCATAAAGTTGTCAAATCTTTATACTCTTCACCGGCTCATCAAGTTGGCCAGAAGCTGCACAACTGGTTTGAATGCCCTACTCGATATGGAAAAGGTTAAGCAGACCCACTGAATGCCCTTCACGTGTTGCGCGAAGAGTCTCGCGTACAAACCTTTGCCCCCTTCGCGAATGACGATTAATGCAAATTTATTTCGTTTGCTACGCAATCGACTTCCATTTTTCCATTTGCATAATGCAGCTGCAGGTTGGGTCCCCTACAGCCATACTTATATACACATGCTATATATATATAATGTTGATATAGAGTATATCTGAGACAGTTCCAAAGAACTATAAATCCATTGTTTACTTTTGCGACGAATGCTATTTTCCCGCCCTTTTACATATCACTTTGGGTTATGCAATAAATCGCTGAGAAATGCTCAAATACTGAAGACAATGGGAGCGAGAGAGATAGTGTGTGTGTGTGAGAGAGAGAGATAGAGGGAGAGGGAGAGGGAGATAGAGGCGAATACGAGGTTACCGCACTGCTATGTCTGATTTGTTAGGCCAACTATCTGCCTTATCAGCTGACACATTGATAAAGCCAAGAGCAGGCCAAAACATAAGCAATACCCTAAGCAGCTGGCTGTAGGGTATAGCCGCCTGTACAACCAGTTGGCAGAGCCCAGAAAAACAAAGACCTGGACTTATATGCAGTGTAGCTATATATAGCACAGAATAATTTGTTAGAATCTTAGAAACAAATGCAATTCAGAGCTTGAGTAAGACAAGTTAACAAAATTTAGCACTTTATGAATTGCTACTATTTTCATGAACACATCTGCATAACTTGATGTTCTAGATCATTATTCATCATCTGATTCTTAGAATATATGACCTTATAGCCATTATTACTCATATATACACAGTTATAAATATATATTTTATTTCACAATCAATAGTGGTCATTTATTTTATTTATTTGTATTATATTATTCCCAGATATAATATTTAAATATAATATTACATAGATATTGTATTATATGTATGCGAATTGGTGTTTATTGACTTGACAAATTCATTTTTATTCAATCAATTTTTTTTTTAATATTATTTTTTTTTCCTATATAAATTTATATTTATAATTTTATAAACTTGAGGTCATATTTCCAAAAAATTATTTGATCAGAAAAATATATATTTATATATCAGCAACGGTTATATATATCATATCATTGTATATATATAATATATCTCATCATCAATCCCTCAATTTCAAAATATATATTTTAGCGTAAATCCTATAAACCACCCTCGCATAGACATACAATCTGATCAGATCATACATAAATCATGGCAAACCATAAAAGAGCCCAATTACCCTACTTGTATAATTCAGAAGAGTATTCGAAATGCGACTTGACCTTGTCTAGATATGCCCCAAGCACCCTTCTCTTCAAGGTACTCGACTCGACCATGGCAGCGAGAAACTTGAATCGATGCGCTCGAGATAGTAAAGCGTAGCAGAGCAAAACAAAATGAACGTTCCTCGTCAGACCCCAAAAGCCCTTCCCAGAAATAGCCAACTTTTATCTATATTTAAAACTAACTTCAATTCACAGAAAGTAAGCACAGGCGCAGGCCAAGGACAGCAGAAGGAAACAGCGACAGCAGCAGTAGCAGCAGCAGAGAGAAGCCATGGCAAATCCGCGTAAGTTTAGCGAGAAGATTGCGCTGCAGAAGCAGAAGCAGGCCGAGGGCACAGCGGAATTTGAGCGGATTATGAAGGAGGTGTATGCCACCAAAATGGATGAGACGCAGGTGAATCAAAAGATATTGGAGTGCTGTCTGGGCGGGCCAGAGAGTGGCGGCTCGAGCAATGCATCGCCAGGTGGCAATGCGGGCAATGGCACGGGCAGCGGCAATGGCAGCGGGGCCAGCGGCGGTGCCTCGCCAGATGGCATAGCCGGTGCGGGAGGGGGCGGAGGTGGTGGTGGAGGTGGAGGTGGAGGTGGAGGTGGAGGTGGAGGTGGTGGAGGCTCACCCACTGCGTATCGTGAATCGCGCGGCCGGAGCATGGGCGTTGGTCCACTGCGACGGCAATCGGAACGTAAGCAGGATCGTTCGCCCTATGGCAGCAGCTCGACGGCGCTGATCAATGCCATGGGCTTGCCCAACGTCAGCGGCAGCAGCAACAACAGCAACCCTAGCAGCGGCAGTGCCACTGGCAATGGCAACAACAACAACAACAACAACAACAATGGCACACAACAGAACCTCTATTTGAGTCCGCCCATGGACACAAATTGGCGTCGCTCCAATTCAGATTCGGCGCTGCATCAGAGCCTCAACATGGCAATGGCAGCAGAAGGTGGCTTTGGCAACGACATGAACACGCTGCACGCCAACTATGCACAGCAGCAACAGCAACAGCAGCAGCAGCAGCAACAGTCGCCGCATGGCCAACGATCTCATTCGCCGCATCAAATTGGACGCAGCTTCAGTCCGCAGGCGCAGAGGAGAAAGACGCCGCTGTTGCAGCCGCATCAGCTGCAGCTGCAACAGTTGCAGCAGCATCAGCACAACATGCAACAGCTGCACATGCATCAACAGCAACAGCCGCAAGCACAACAGCAACAGCTGCAATTGCAGCAGCAGCAACAACAGTTGCAACAGCAACAACAACAGCAGCAGCAACAACAACAGCAGCAGCAACAGCAACAACAGCAGCAACAGCAACAGTTGCATCCGCCATATAACGCCAAATTCGCCAACTCTTTGTTCAGGCCATTGCAGGAGCAGGCCAGCTATGCCAATACCGGCTCCCTGCCAAATCTCACAGCACTGCAGCATTACGCAACACCACAGCAACAGCAGCAGCAGCAGCAGCAGCAACAACAGCAGCAACAGCAGCAGCAGCAACAGTTGCAACAAACACTTTCGCCTGTCATGTCGCCGCACAATCAACGACGCGAACGGGATCAGTCGCCCAGTCCGTTTAGTCCCGCTGGGCCGCCATCGCCGTACCATCAGCAACAGCATTCGCCAACGTCAGCCGCCGTCGTCGCCCAGCCGCCAAACAACAGCAGCAGCAGCAACAGCTGTTCGCCTCACCTATCGTTCAGTCGCCTGGGCGACAACAATGGCAGCGCCACTGTTGCTGGCAACTTAACCGACTATCGCCAGCCAGCCAATCCGTCTAGTCCACGCTCCTCGCCAGGTCTGCTTAGCAGTGTCTCGGGCAGCGAGCTGCATACCAGCGCGCCGGCCAGCCCCATACGTGTGCAACACCAGCCGCAGCAGCAGCAGCAACAACAACAGCAGCAGCAGCAACAACTGCAGCAGCAACAGCAGCAACAGCTGGCGGGCGGCTTTGATGCGGCCTACAATAGTCTGAATCCCTCGTTTCACAATCATTTTGAGAACTTCTCGCTGGGCGACAGCAACTCGTCGCCGGAGCAGCAAAGTTTCGCCAACAACTTTGTTGCCCTCGATTTTGATGACTTTACGGCAAATGCTGCTGCTGCGGGGACAACATCGGTGAATGGCTTCAATCAGCAGGAGCAGGCGCAAAATAAGCTGATCGACTTCAATGAGCTGAGCGGCAGTCCCGAGGCCAGCGCCAACAACAACAATCTGCGACGCATCAGCAACCAGCAGCAGCAGCAGCAGCAACAGCAGCAGCAGCAGCAACAACTTCTCAACAACAACAGCAACGGCTCAGCCACGCATAATGGTGGACCTAGCTTAAATGGACCCGGCGTGGATAGCCAGCACCACAACAACAACAGCAACGGTGTTGGTGGCGTGGTTGAGCCGCTGGTCGCGTCGCCAGTGCCATCGCCTGGACTGGGCTGTCCGAGCTCTCCGCTGCCCATACCGATGTCGACGCAGGCGCCATCACCGCAGCAACAATTGTCGCTGTCGCTGCACCAATCGCCGCACCACTCACCGATGCATTCGCCGCACCACTCGAACTCGCCGCTCTCGAGCAGCTCGCCAGTGGGCAATGCCTGCAACTCCAACATGATTATGAATCATCAGCAACATCAGCAACACCTGCAGCATCACCAACAACAGCAGCACCACCACCAGCAGCAGCAGCAACAGCAGCAAAGCCATACGCCCACCACAGCCAATATACCCTCGATAATATTTAGCGATTACTCATCGAATACGGATTTCAATAGGATTTTCGATACGTTAGATCTGGACCTGGGGCAAATGGATGTGGCTGGCCTGCAAATATTGTCCGATCAGAATCCTATAATGATTGCCGATCCCAGCATCGAGGATAGCTTTCGTCGCGACCTCAACTGATACTATGAGGAGGCTGTTGCGGCCATCGAGAGCGGCGTGCTGCTTGAGGATACATATGATGCATTGTTAGCCTCCAGCTCCAGCTCCGTCGATGTGCAGCAGACAACAGCAGCAGCAGCAGAAGCCGCAGCAGCAGCAGCAGAAGCAGCAGCTAGCGAAAAGGATAAAAAGGATTTGGAGGTGATTGAGCTACTTGTGCCGAGTGTTATAGATGAACTTGTTGACTCCAGCGATTTGGATGAGGAAGTGCGCAAGTTTTTCTTCTAAGTCAAATCAAGCCAAGTTAACACGCACACACACATCACACACACACATACAGATACACATAAGCTAGTTGTAAGCGTTCGTCCATGCTAGTCTTTTGTACACACTCCTCGTCCTGCCCGTCCCCCTTTTGTTATGCTTCCCCAACAAACCCCGTCATTCGTCTGTGCTTTGTGTAGCTAGCTAATAACAAGAAAACCCCTAGACATTAAGTGTACGACAGAAAGCCCTTTTAAACACTAGACCTCCACAAGAAACCCAAAATTAACCCCAAGAACCCGCCCTTACCTAATCTTATATATAGATATATATGTTTTACAGCGAGTCTCAGATTTTACTTAAATACGCACATAAGTCACGAAAATACCTACTACAACTACTTACAATATATATATATATATATGTATATATATATATAAATCTACTTTTCTGTATATAACAAACACATGTATATGTATTTATTTATATGATGAAAGGAATATAAAAGAAAAAGGATTAAAAACCAAAAAGTGTCTTAGACCTACGACCAAATTACTGTTCTATATAAAAAAGGAGAGGAAGAAGAAGCAGAAGAAGGAGCAACACACAAAACAAGAAATTCCTGTAAAATAAAAGCTACAATTTACCAACTATTTATAACTGATAAACAACTATCTATATATGTATATATATGTATCTATATATATGTATATATATAGATGTATCGAAATTTACCCTTACGTGCCGTCGAAGCAATTACTAGTATTTAAGCGTGCGAGTTATCGTTTATGCAGTTATCGTTAATCGATAACAATAAAAATTACAAAACAAAACACAAAAAAAAACATTTCTAGCCTCCACATTTTGTTCGAATATACCGAAAAGCAGTTATCAAAATCAACTAATTTCCAGTATCACAAATCTAAATATATATATATACTGAGTCTATATATAGGAACAAGCTGCGCTCCACACAGACGACAAAACTTAACGAAAACACACAAAAGATAAAATAAATTGTAAATCAAAAAGAAAAAAAAACGAACTCAAAATTTTTTACAAAAACATAGCTAAATATATATATACATATATATATATATATATGTATATGTGTATGTAAGTATATATATGTATATCTATGTATATATTTATGCATAAATAGTTAGGAAATTGTCATACAAAAGGAAAAAAAATCAAGTCAAGATAAAGTCTTATTCTCTATATAATCCACACATGCAAAATCTATGTACCAGAGTTTTTCAATATTTTATTTTCAATTTCCAAGAAAAAAAACGAGTCTAAAATTATTAAAAATAAAAAAAAAACAATTTTTGAGATAGAAGCGAGAAACAGGCTTTAAAAATAAATAATTAAAAGTGCAAACATTTTATTAATTGAGTACCAGAACTTATATATATATATATCTATATATATTGTTAATAATATAGATTTTTGCATAAATAAATAAAATAAAATATAAATTTTCCTTTTTTTCTAATGTCAAATGTAAAATTCTAGTTATAAACTTAAATAAGTAAAGTTTAAATATTTAAAAAAATATGCGAGAAAAAAATAAAAAAAAAGTTAAAAATATAAAAGCGCATAAAAAAATAAAAAAATTATAATTCTTAATTTTATTTTTCTGTTTTCTAAATGCGCTAAAATAAAAAAATATGATGTATATGTAGTTAATACATAAAATACTATTAAATTATATATTTAAGTAATTGTTTATTTCTACAAAGTAAACAACAAAAAAGCAGGCATAAGAGTATATTCAATGTAATAACACAGTTATTTGTTTCAAATAAATCTTACATTTAATTTTAATTACAAATCCTACTATTATTATTATTATTGCTTACACTGTGCTACGTGCTACTGAAACGAATTGCTATAAATTCTTTAAATTATTAAATATGCAATAATTGCACGTTTAATTTACATATATTTATATATACCTGGGTACTTAACCATATCAATTGAATTACAAAAATATATAAATAACAGTTATGCGGCATGCCGAATATTTAATACCCTCGCAAAGCTCTTTGCTACAGGTATTTAATAGTAGCAGTATTATTGTGAGGTTTTTCCAATAGGTCAATATCATATCATAAAGTTCTTATATGGAAGCTGAGCAAAGTCCATGCAAATGCATTTTTTATAAAAATATCCATAAAAACAAATACTCTACCTTTTTATTTTATCTATGACAGCTGTATGATATAGTGATCCATTTTTGATAAGATTATGTATATATAGAAAACTATGAAACCCCAAAATTTCGCAATGAATTTAAAACATCTAGGAATATAAATCATCGTTTTTACTGATCTTTCCTATGACTGCTAAGTGATATAGTAAGCCGATCGGATACGATTTATTTATATGGATCTATAACAGATAATAGAAAGCTGGAACCAAAGACAGAGTATACTTTGCATAGAAACATGGCTTTATGACTCACCTGTTGACACATTTCAATAACAAATACCAACACATACCTATAGCTATATTAATTTATATGAGATAGCTACTGAGATATGCGTTACGTGGCTCATCACAAATTGTGCATATCTCAAAGTATTATAGAGTACATAAATAAACACATTTTTTATTTGCACACACGACAAACGCAGACGTTAACATGGGCTGCAGATTACAATTAGCTGCAACGGTTGTTGTGTTTGTCGTTGTTGTTGTTTTTTGCTATTTTGTGTGCTGCTTTGTAAATAAGCACGACGCAATTTGTGGCCCGAGCTAAATTTAGAAGCCAAAGTTCGATGCGGATACACAGTTAGTCCTATTTTACTATTGCCTTTTACCTTTCATGCAAGGAGTAAGAGTTAGAGTAAGAGTAAGAGAGACACATCTATGGTACATATGTACATATGTATTTATATATATGTTTGTACGTTGGCATCCTTATGCATGTGTGCACACATACACACACATAGCTGAGCTGAGCATGTATTGTGCGCGCAAGTCATAAATGTTGAGACAAGCTTACTTTATTAATAAAACATGAAATAAATACCAAACTGCAATTGTCGACTAGCAAATACACTACCAAGCATTAACAACAAAAATAAAAATAAACTTAATTTTCAAATAATTTGATTTATAAAACTTAACACCTTAGACTAGCCACATCGACTTTGAATATTTGAATATACACACGTTACAAATTGCCTAACATAAGTTGAACAACCTTTTTTACTAGCGTGCTAAAAGCGCAAAGCGCAAATCGCAATTAAAAAATCAAGCTTTTGATTTTTATAACGCTGCTCGCGTTGACTTTGCTGATACTGTTAACGGTAAAAGGGCAAGTCGACCAAAAGAGTGTAGGCGAGAGAGAGAGAAAGAAAGAGAGCGTGAAAGCACTAAGTGTCACATCTCTCACTCTCCTACTCCCACTCCCACTCGCATATGGTTTTTAGTGGTTCCTCGTGTCGCTTCTTAATGAAGCGCCAAAATCAAATCAAAATTGTCGCGCTAATGGAAGCTACATACATATACACATATATGACGCTCTGACTATAGCGTCATTATTGTTATCGGTTCAGTCCGCTGGGCGACCGGTTCCTAACACTAAAGGCGCAAATGTTATCAGCAAACACGAGAGAGAATTATAAAAACAACAACAGGGGGCGTCTTAAACGACATTCCAAGACGCAGCCAGCGGCCATGCTGCTAACCGGGGGGCCTCTCAAAGTTACTTTAAATGTGCACAAATATATATGTATATATATATATATACATATATATATATATATATATATATATACATATATATATATATATATACATATATATAATATACATATATAGTTTTGCCAAACAGTTGAATGCTCTTTTATGGCACACAATGATAAGCTCTCTGACGTGCATAACAATAATGCAATATGCATAGAATAGTCATAATGGAAGTAATTAGTATTGATCACAAGGCAAAACCTATCGATTCACAATAGGGCGTGACAGTCGTTCACAATATCTGTACAAATAAATTTATATATATATATATATTGCATTGAGCAATTCTGTTTTTTATTTGTAATCAGTGTTGATTAATTTTAGTATAGCTTTTTCTATCCACCTTGCCCCACTGTGGGTCAGGCTATGATTAAAACAATAAACAACCCCAGCAACAACAATAACAACAACCGCAATATATGTATATATGTACATATAAAAGCAAATAAAATAAATACTAATAGAATAATATGAATTGTAACGTAAACAGGCGATATTGCACAAAGTACATAAGAAATTGAATTTGCCAATCAGTTTTTCTTGCGAATATTTGTATGTATGTCTGCATGTATGTATGAGAAATTGCCTGCCTAACCTCAATTTCGCCCTACTGTGAATGAAGCCGCGTGCACATGCGCCCCGCCAGGTTAGAGGGAGCAAGAGAGAACGAACGCAAGATAAGCGGAAAGGTTGTCACGCAAATAAAACTTAACATCAAAGAAGAAAAACATTTCGGTATTTTGAATGACTATTTGACAGTCTGAGCAAATATTTAGCTAATAATACGTCATACGTATGTTTGGCCGGGTAAATTACCCCACGATTCGCCAAAAGAATTAGTTCACAATAGACAAAGATTGTTATTGTTGCTCGAGCGGGTCACAAGAGGCAGACATTGCTATTGCTTTCACAGTCGCACATTGATAACAAGATAACAAATCAAAAAATACATATTAATTTATATATGATGAATCAATATATTTTCGGCGCAATGCGGCAGAAAGAGGGAAATGTTGAGTTTGCTTGGAACCTGAAACCTTCAAACTGTAAACGCTAGCAGCTTTCAAAGCTTTGCTCACAGAGATAAAAAGCTTGCTTTGAATTCTCAACTCCTAGACGATAGGCTATCTTTATTGACTACTTCGCTGATGGTATATAATATATCTATTCATATTCATATTCTATTAGTGCGCAGGTAGTCGTCATCGCCATCATCATTAGCATCCTCTACGACGCTGTAAGAACTTTTGCCGCCGCCTTCCTTTGAGAGATGCGTCTCGAAGAACTCCTCCACGGTGTCCGTATTCCATTTGGTTATGGACAATGTTTCTTGCACTTTGCCACTGGCATCCAACAGCTTGACAAGTGGATCTAAGCCACGCACATATTTAATTTGCAAATTGGGAAACTTTGCTGGCCGACCGCTCTGTATAAATGCCTGGATTTGTGGATAGGCACGGAATTTACAGGTGCAAACCTCAAGAATTGCCTTCGCATAGGTGCGCTGCGCAGCCGGCTGCTGATCCTGCGTGCAGCATTGTTTGCAGTGAGGTCTAAGGGATAAATTGATTAGTATTGTAATTAATCATTCGAGTATTACGCACTTAATAGCCTCCAGGCCAAAATCATCCAATTTGTCACAATTGGAACACATCAACTGTGTCTTAATAAAGCCCAGCTCCCGGCAATCGGCCGCCGTGAATTCACCATGAGCTGTTTTAAGGCACTATAAAATTTAGATTAGTCAGCGAAACACATATAACTTAAGTTTGTTCTTACTTACGCTTATTAAGGCCACTAAAGAACACAAAAGTAACACAAATTTGTTCATTTTTAATTCCAAAATCTAATTAAGCTACCACGTCGTTGTTTACAAATGGATGAACAGCAATCGATTAATCGATAAGCGTAAATACTGCCGATTTCCACTATCTTTGCCTACCATTGGTATTTTCTGTTTCATTTAGTATTTTTCTTCCTACAGCTCTGGATTCAGCTGTGCGCCGCGTGAAGTTGGCAGTGAAACTTAATTTGCTGAAGAAGAAGAATGTGGCTCGCGTAGTCGCATTTGTTTTGTTCCAACTAATTCACTCACAAATTTTATTAATATTCCTTTAATTATTGCAAGTATTACAATATTTACCGGAAAAACGACACGTATTACAATAAGGCTAAGTACTGTTCCAAAAGACAACAGTATTCTGTGTGTGTTTGGCAACAATTTTTGGCAAATCAATAAATACATTCGTTGAGAGCGAACGCGCTGCGCAAAAGTGAAAATCTATTCAACGAACGCATAAAAAAGGTGAATAATCAAAATGAAAAACTAAAAACGGTCTAGAAAATACAAATTCGATTGCTGTATAAATAAAATTTGTGCCGAGCTCTCGTTGCTGCTGCATCAGTTGTTGGGGTAGCACAGAAATAGAAACACAAATGTAAAAAGGTTGTTAAGCAGGAGGAGGAGGAGCAAAACAGCTCCAGGGGAGCATCTTGTCTATGTGTCTGTCTGTCTGCGTGTGTGTTTGTATGTTTACAGCTGTATGCTTGTGTACTCGTGCTTGTTTGTGTTTTGATTAGTAAATTTATAATCTTAGAGCTTGTGCTGATATTTCGCCTCGGTGTTAAATACTTTTTCACTGTGATAACTGTTCTATGTGGCAATTGCTGTTTATTTTATTCATATTTTTACTCAACGGCTCGTTAATTTATTCATTTGCCCTTGTCCAACAATAAGTTTTATTTTTTCTTGAATAGAATGCACTGGTACATATACACGCACATATGTTTAGCTATTAATACCCTACGAAAAAGAGTGCAGTTCAGTTACATGAACTTGCATGGGCTTGAGTGTGTGTAAGGGTATTAAAAATTCGGCTGGCCGAAGTTAATTCTACTTGTTAAACTTGCTTTAGCTACCTACATTAATGCATATTGTATTCTTAACGGTTCTAGCTATTGCGTGTGCATATGTATGTATGTATATGTGTATGTGTGCTTGTTCATTCAAGTTGATGCATGCAACGACATGATGCTGCTTCAGGCGGAAGCTACTTCTTAAGGTCTTCATTCAGTCGCTGCTTCCGCCTGTAGCTCGCGTCTTGTTTAACTGGTTTAGGGCGCAGCTGCATACATGTATGTATGTGTGTCGGTGTGTTCATGTCCATATGCATTGTTCGCACCTGCTGCATGTATGCATCAACAGCGACGGCTGCAGCTGCATTTCTACTCAAATTTCTTATCAATACGAAAAACCTTCAAATTGTGTTTTTCTCTTTTGTTTTTGCTATTTTTGCGTTACTTTTATTTCAACTTCTTTGTTAGCCATGAAGCTAGCCAACTACCTGCCTAGCAGTGCCAACTATTTACGTACACAAATGCAATATATATGTCAAGATGTGCATGTATGTGTGTATATAGAGTGCCTATTGAATTTCTCCTACCCACGCCAACTCTCAGTTTTGCCTTCTTTCAATTTCACATTTCAAATGCTGCCTGAGTCAAGTTTCGTATGTATTGCTCATTCTCTTCCAAATGTTTGTATAAAATGGATATATTAATTACGTGTAAATAAATGTATAATATACACATATATACACTCATAATATTTGTGTGAAACTATTATGATATGCTTTTGACGATATCGGTTTAATCTATTTTCGATAAATATCAATATTTGAAATTTGTTATAAAGACGGAGCTAAGAACTTAACATGTCATGATAGTTCTGCGCTTATCAGTTTCATTATGCAATAATTTCGATAAATATCGATTTCTAATATGAATACACAAATATATTGCATAGCTAAGCGCTCTACAGGGTAATGCCTTGTCAGCATAATCTCTTTATACTTGTTTTTTAATGAACGTTTGTATGTTTAGCTAATATTTATATATGTATATCTCATATATACATAATATGGTACACTTTCAATCGTGTGACTCAGCTCTGCCTTTATCAATTGATTTCATTGTTGTTGTAACATACACTCCTTATCGCGTAATCAACGCCTGTTTTGCCACGAAGAAAACGACGAGCAAAATATAGTCAGCCCAGTTGGTAATTTTTATAAGTATTCAAATGTCTTTAAGTAAGAGGGGAACGACTGTATAGGCAATTCGTGTTAATTACCTAATTGCCAATGGCTAATGAATAACAGGTAAAAAGCTCAGAATGGCGTGTCTGCAAAAAAACAAAGCCAAGCAGAAGTTTGATTAAATACGAATACTATGTAATATAAAACTAAAGTGTGACTAAGACTTCACATAGAGGTAGAACTGAGTTAGGATTCAGACTTTTTGAGATAAGATTGGTATATCAAACTAGAGAAGGACAGAAAGAGGAAGATTAAGAGAGAAATTAAAATAAGTAGAGTGAGAAAACGTAGGACAGAGAGAGGAAGATAGAGGCAAAGCGAGAGTAAGGAAAAAATAGATGAATATATAGAGAAATGCGAAACACAGAAGTAGAGTAAACAAGAAATAAAGATAAGTAGATGGACTGAAAATATACGTGAGAGAAAAAACTCTATATCTAGCTGTTTATGTAGATTCTAAAACTAATTCTACATATCTGTGTATATAATTCCCTTTAAGCGTCACATTGTCGATTCGTAATTAGATTGAAATAAATAACTCTTGAACTAGAATTGCTTGAAACAATACTTGAAGATCTGAAGGTAGAAAGTGAGAGGGAGAGAGAGAGAGAGAGAGAGAGAACAAATGTTTGAAACGATTCTGCTGTTTATGGACAACAATAATACATATATCTATCGTAGATCTATAAGCCATGCAGATCACGACTACACATATCCATATATTTCCCATCAAACATTACGAATTCTATGACCAATGCTTAGATACCCTGTAATTTGTTGTTCTTCAGTTCTTCATAAATGTTTTAGAATACGCTCGTATCTATGTCATGCTTCATTTGTTTGTAATGCGGGAGTGTGTTTATGGCAACTCTGCGCAAATATTTGTATGTGTGTATGTCTTACAAACCGACCTTCTCCTAATATGTCCGACACTCACGCATTCGCCCACACCTCCAGCTGACTTAACTAGGAAGCCAAACAAACTGCGCATTTGCGTGCTGTTTGTGGCTGCTCCTCCATTTGGAAATGTTGCTAATTATACTCGTAGGCCCCGATCTCCACACCAAACAGCGGTTAGGAACTCAGCTCCAATAACTTAACTGTCCAAGAACTATTTTTAGTTATTATTCAAATTGTATTCGTTCGCCTATTCGTATTCGGTTTCAATTGCTCAAAAGGTCAATCAAATTGCACTCGTTTATTCAGGCGACAAGTTCTCCATGAGAACATTTAGTTTAGAGCTTCACATGTGGTTTTTATGTCGTATGTAATAGCGCTGAAGTACCGTTAGGTTCAAGGACAGCTAACAACAGTTGAAAGCCAGTTAGCCATAAATTAACTAGGCGAATAGCTCGCAATTAAAATTCTCTACTAGAGCAAAAACAAAGCTCGCTTTTACGACTTGCGGGCAGAAAAATAAGTTGTATATACATCTATGTAAATATATATGTATAGTAATATAGTGGAATATTAACACTCTCTGAAATAAGGTATAGAGTATACGCCGATATAGCGTGCTACGAAATGTTTATGGTGCCTCTGGCATGGAAATTATTAAGTGGAACCAAATGAAAATTCCCTGTAAGCGTGAACATTTGTAAGTGTTTCGATCTGAGATATATTATTAAACATTTGTTTGATATATTACTTAATAGTATATGTAGTATGAGTAGCTTACTGATGCTACTAGTATTACTAGTATTACTAGTATATACTAGTATTATCCGTCAAATACAACAATTATATAACTACTACTACTTAACTACTTATACTAGTATTCATACTACTCTTCTAATCGAACTACTACTATTGCTACTCTACTACTACTACTACTACTACTACTACTAATACTACCATTACTATTACTATTACTACTACTACTACTACAATACCTACCACTCTGCAAGTATTACTAGTCTTCTAATATTACGACATTCGACTCTTTTGCTTCTACTACTATTAGTACTACTATTTCTCATATACTGATATTCTACTACTACTTTTCTACTAATCCTCATCTACTATTTTTTTATATCTGCTCTCCGACTACTACTCGTTACATGCTAAAACTCTACTACTACTTCTAATCTTCTGCTACTACGACTCATGCAGTACTACTAATCTTATTCTTTTAATATTCTAAAACTACAACTCTTCTGTCACGTTTATGAATAGTCTAGTTTTAATCATTTTCTACTACTACTCTTCTACGAATCCTCATCTATTACTTTTTTAGTACTACTATTATCCGAATACTACTACTACACTATTCTAATACTATATCTTCCCTTTTGATATCCTCTTACTTCATATTACAACCAATCCAATTACTGCTCATTCTAAGCATTTTTATTGAATATCAAACCACTTATTTTCCACTTACGTGGAACTTTACCAACTGTAAGAGTTGTCATGTTGCCTTTTGGAGCTAAGAATAGTCAAAGTGACTGAACTACGTCACCTGAAGTTCAGCATGTCAAGTTCAACGTGTTCGCGGCTTTGTATTTTTTAAAGTTAAGAGTGAACACATTAAAAGTCCCAAAAAAAAAAACGCAAATAAACAAAAAACAAGTGCAAACTGTGCAAACATCTTCGTTCAGTTGAGACAGGTAAATAAAATGTGTAATTTGTGTTTTTTTTTCTTATTTTGTACAAAACATGTAATTTGTTAATTAATAAGCCGCTTTGTTATTTTCCACTTAGGTCGATAGCGAGAGACAGAGAGGGAGAGAGAGACAGACAGACAGAGATGAGAAAGAGAGAGAGAGAGAGGGCAGAGCAGTGGGAATGAGATTGAGGGCAAGGCTGGCCTAGGCAGGCATTAACACACTCTACAGCACAGCTCGGCACAACACACACCTACAACTACACCAACTACTCCTACACACAGAGACACACACAAACCCAAACACACAGTAAATTCACTTTTTTTGAATTTTAAGTTGATTTTAATTGCACTTTGCCTTTATTCTGTTGCAGACAGCGCACCAAAAAAAAACAAAGATCAAAACAAAACAAAAAAAGCAAAAACACAAGACACACAAAATCGTTTGCCACTCACCTGCCTCTCGCCCATTTGCAATACTTCTCGCCATGCGCCGCCGCCTACTGCAAAACTTGTAGAACTCAAGATGAAAGCCAGTACGCTGCTTACCTTTTCTGCTGTGCTCTGCGCCTGCCTCTCGCTGAGCGCCGCCTGCTCCTCGCGTGCCATAGCCAAGCCTCGCCCGGAGGCAACGTCGACATCGCCTCCGCCCGATAATGTCATCGCACTGACCACCACATCGAGGCCGAATATCACGTTTCCCATCTACAGCTGCCCGCCCACATATGCCGCCTGGTATTGCCTAAATGATGCCACCTGCTTCACCGTGGAGATTCACAATGAGATTCTGTACAATTGCGAATGTGCGCTGGGTTTCATGGGGCCACGCTGCGAGTACAAGGAGATCGATGGCTCCTATCTGCCCACACGCAATCGCGTAATGCTGGAGAAAGCGAGCATTGTGAGTGGAGCTACGCTCGCCGTCATCTTCATGGCCATTTGCTGTGTGGTGCTCTATTTGCGACACGAGAAGCTGACCAAACAGAAGCTGCACAGCAACGGGAATGATGTCGGCGATCTGGGCTTCGAGAATGCGGGTGTTGATCAAGTGGATGGCTTTAAGTCATTGCGCATAGCGCGTCGTCCCTTTGGACCGCACCATTGTCGTATCGTCACATTGGAGGAGGCCTATCGCCAGTCAGCTGCCAGCCATGAGCGAGCCAGGCACTAACTACTAATCTTTAAAATTGTTTAACTGTTTTCTTTTTTATTATATATAACTGATTTATATCTTTAATTAAGCGATTCCATCGAAGTGCCTATCGATTATGCAGCTAAGGCAATAAGTATTATTAACTGAAATGCAATGCAATGCAATTTTGGCAGCTAGCCGCCCATTTAATAATAATACTAATTTAATTAATATTTATTAAACGAATGACAAAGCATTAAAACAAAGCATTAAAATTTTTAATAAAAATGCGTGAAAAAACTTTTGACTAAAAGCAAAAATAAATAAATTTATTTATTTATTCATGAATCTAATTTTCCTCTCATTGCAGCTTGTTGTAAATTACGTTCGATTATTTATCTCAATTTGTATCTTTCTGTATTACAGTTATGCCGCACAATAATCAGCAGCCCTCCGCACCTGGCGACGATCCTTTGGGTCCGCCGAAGGCAGATTTTAGCGCACCGCCGCCATACGAGCCGGACGCACAGGGTCATGGCGGACAGCAGCCATTGGCGCCGCAGTTGCCGACGCTGGCGCTGACCACACATGTTGGGAACGATGCGGATCAGTCGCAGAGCTGTGAGGTGGCGCTGCCGCAGGAGCTGCATGGCAAGCTGCCCACATACGAGGAGGTGCAAATGGAGAAGTCATTGAATGGAGAGCTGCCGCCCGCATTTCTGACCTTGCCAACGACCCAACAGTTGCCGCCGCCGCCAAATCCGTTGCTGCCGCTGCCACCAAATCCGCTGCGCGATGGCCCCGGTGCCGTGCGCTCCAATCATCCGGCGCTGACGTTCATTGCCATCGATGCGGGCGATCCAGAGAATAGCTTATCGACCACAGACAATTTACTGGGCACGGACATTATGTTTATTACGGCGTTTATGGTGGCATTTCTATTCAACTGGATTGGCTTTCTGATGCTCACCTGTTTCTGTCACACAATTGCGGCCAGGTATGGCGCCCTGTCTGGCTTCGGCTTGTCGTTGGCCAAGTGGACGTTGATTGTGAAGCACTCGACGGACTTGGCATCGCATGAGAACTCTTGGCTCTGGTGGCTAATCTGCGCCTTTGGGTTCCTGATTGCCATACGTGCATTCATACAGTATGTGAGCATTAAACGCTCCTGGCGCCTGCTCTCCGCATCGGCCCAGGAGCGTTTGCTCTTCTTCTACTAGGTGCGGGCGCCGTCGCCGACGGCGGGTTATGTAAATACATTAGAAGTGCGAGTCATTTGAAAACGATGAACATAAGCAAATATCCTTTACGTTCGATCCCAAAAACACACAAACAGAAACAGAAAGTGAAAGAGAAACAAAACAAAGAAAGAAATGAAATCAAATGCGAACTTACTATTGGTTAGTGTTCTCTGTAGTTACTATGTTAAATAGCGCAAGTTAATCCATAAATCCGTTAAAGCTAGCATCTAATATTGTCGGCATGTCAATGAGACAGGCGCACAGAGTAGTGAGAGTCGAGATGTGGATTCCATTTGGAGCCCGTTTCGCTGCACCTTTTGCCCATCTAATTGATGTATGTTCTTGTATATGTAAACTGTGTATAGATGTCTCACTGTAGTATCTTCTATTTTTAGTAGTCGAAAGAAAGACACCACACACCACACGTAGCAAAATGTATGCCACCATATTTTATGTTGAGTCTATTATATGCTGTGGTACTTAAACAGCTACAACACAAAAGCCAGCAGTAATTTTTCTAGATAAATGCAAAGAAAACTATTATAATTACGATTATTACTATTATAACGTTTACTATTAATATGTTTAATCCCTTTATATGTAAAAAGATATGCATTACGAGGGCGTATATCAGAATTGTACGTCAGTTTTATGCAAATTAATAAAATTAAACAAAAAAATCAAGAAACTCCTTTGCTTTAGCATTTAATTTTAAATTCCGCGCCATATGTTGTGCAGTGTTATTTATCGATTTAGTTGCTACGAAGCTTGAATATATCGCCTACTCAATACTGATAAATATCGTATACATGTCAATAGTCTGGCAACACTCTTATCAGCAATCAACCCTGCTTTGAAAAATGTTGACCAACACTTTGTATCGAAGTAAGCTATGCACATTACTTGCAACTCACAAAGAGAAGTTGTCTCGTTCGTGTGTGAAAATATATTTTCACAATAGGCAGCCATCTTTAATTTAGAATTAAATTTACTGGAAAATAATCGTGTTAAAATAACTAGAAAAAGTAAAATTAAATTGCATCGAGCAGCAAAACAATAAAACTACGCAACGTAAGTCAATCAAAGCATAATTTCTTGGTGTTTCATAAACTGTGAAAAATATTCTGCGGGTGTGTATGTGTGTGTATCTGTTGGCAGATTATTTTTTCTCTCAACCATCCTGCAATCTAATTATTGATTTTCACTGGTGGCCTTACGCAAATAGTGACTTATAATACGCATTTGCCAGAAATTATCTCAACTTATGCAATCTGTGTTGTGAAGAGAAATACAAACACATACAAATATTAGTTTGCAAACTGTGTAAACTGCGCCAATTATTGATAAATAAAGTTGGCAATGAATACTTAATATTATCTATAAATTAGATTATTAAATTTAGATTAATGGTTTTTGGTGTGCTTAAGTAAATACTTGATTTGCTTAATTATAGTATCTTTTCAATGCCGGTTTTGTGATTCAGCATACACGCACTCACACACATACGCTTCACTTGGCCGCCATTTTATTTATTTTTTCTAGATAGGCATTAACCTCTGTCAGCAGAAGCATTTGCTTTTGCCGCTATTTTCAGCCGGTTATGTTTTTGTTGCTGTATTAAAAACCAGTTTTTGGTATTGCTGCTAACTGACTAACTGTGCCCATTTCTCTTTTGTGTTTGTATTTGTGTATATTCTGCATTTCTGATAAACAGGTAGCACTCTACATGTACATCAATACGTGTATACATCCACATATACAAATGCTACCCTCTTTTCTGATGACGTTATTTTTGTATTTTTTTTGTGTATGTATCTGCGCTTCCTTTTCACACCCTTAGATACAGATATTTAACTTATTTCGTGTGCTAAACATATGGTTGTACTAACTCTAGCTAAATATTTTATACTCCTAGTAACTGCTTAAATTAGCTTACATTGTTTATGTTCTGTGATGTTTTTTTAATTTCAGCATAGCTTATACAAACGCTTCATAAACGCACGCTTTCGCTTATCCAATACACCCAAAAAAATACCCATTAAAATACATATTCCTATATAGTATATCTAAGAATCATGGTCAGGTATGCCTAGAAAACCAAAAATATACTGAATACGTTTTAAGTGCCGCTATTCAGTGTGCTCAACTTTAGACATAAATATTTAATTAGCTAAGTGCAATCCTCTATCTCTCTGTCTTTCTGTGTCGTTTATTGCAGCGTTAAGGTCAACGTAAATTCACAGCAATTGCACTCGCGTCCTGCACATTTGAACAACGGTATCAACAATCTTAAAGCAAACATGGCATTCCGTGGCAATCAGAATCGCAACCGTAACTTTGGTGGCGGCGGTAATCAATACGGCGGACCAATGGGAGCCAATCGCATGGGCGGCATGAATATGTCGCCATGGGAATCCCAGAATCCCGGCGGCGGCCAATTTGGCAACAATATGCGCCAAGGTGGCGGCCAGATGAATGCCCAGGCCATTAATTTGGCTAATAATCTGCTGAACAACCTATTCGGCAATCAGAATCCACCCTCGCTGCTGGATCTACCACGCGGCGGCATGGGCAATCGCAATCAACGCGGCGGACCGGTATGTATCGATATATATCGAATATGATTATCGACATTATTTCTTGAGTATTCTATTATTTTTTATCTCTATGGTGGACTGAGAGAGCAGAGGAGCTAAAATAGATTTGGCATAAAAATTGCACATGTCTGAGTTGAGGTGTAAATAGTATTTGTAGAGAAATATAGAACTCATTGAATATGCTAATCCAACCAACGCAACGCTATCTATAAGATAAGACTTAAATCAATTTAAACTTGAAATTATTTGTCTTTTGTTTATTATTAAAAAAGTTGCAATTAGTTAAATTTGTTGATGCCAACAGACAAGTGCAGTTAGGCCAAATTAAAACGTACTCTTCTGCCTCTTAGCCTAACCGCTAGAGATTTACCCACAAAAACCCTTATTTAATTTATTTTTATTAAGTTATAAGCTTTAAATAGTTTGTAGATCGTAACTAAAAAGAAAAACAAATTTTATAATCAAACAAATTGCATAAAGCGAGAACCCTGGAAATTTTGATTAGATGGAGAAGGTTTTCAATAGAAAAAAGCATTTATTCCATTTTAAATGCAGATTTTTGTTTTGTGTAGCACGAAATTTGTTGATGACTTGAATCGATTTGATTGATTGTACCAATTAAAAGTGAAGTACCGCCAACAAATGTTCCATTTAAAGATGAAAAGAGTATGATGATATTTTAAAAACAAAATATATATATATATTCTCACTTATTAGATGTATTTAGGCATTTAAATAACTTTTGTATAAAATACTACATATATTTACTACGACCAAAAACCAATTATCAAAAATCTTTGGATTTTTAAAACAATCACAATTTTTGCTAATTTACAAATTATTTATTTTTATTCTCTTCTACACGAAAACTGAAAAACCAAACAAATCATTCGATGCTTGTTTGCAAAAACAAACTCAAAACAATACGCAAAACGCAAATCGAAAACGCATTTCGAATCGCATCCAAATTGTGCCTATACATCAAATATATATATATATATATATATTCATATATATCCGACGTTGAACGTCGCTGCGTGCATTTATTGTTGTTGTTGTTGCTGCTGCAATTGATGTTGTTCTTTGCCAACAAAATAAATAAAAAAAACTCATTTTCTGTTGCTTGTGTTGTCGTGTCTCTTCCTACGACAATGTTTATGAATGTGCCTCAAAAAATTATGATTTATTTTTTTTTATTATTGCTGTGTGTGCACAACTACAATTTCAAAATGAAATATATTCATCTATATATATTTAAATTAATAAACATTGTGGCACATGCAACTAACGAAACAACAAACAAACAAACATAAAATGCATAAAACGCAAATATATTATATGAAAAATGCAAATACAAAACAAATATGCAAATATATAAACGATGCGATGCCCAATTCTTCCAATGCGACGTCCCACTGCACTGATTGATTGATTGATTGATTGAAACTCTTCTAATCTGCTCTGCTCTGAAACTGAATATACTAATCGATCCGATCTGGTACTGGTACTGATTACTGATTGATGGTGTGCAACTGCAATATTGCAATATTACCAAAAATATAAACAAACAAAAAATCAAAAATATAAAAAAAAAAACAATTATATAACAAACACATCGCCATTCTTCTTCAACGTTCCTGCTCTGATCGAACTCACAATCGAACCATTGAAATCGAACTTCAAACCGATAAACCGATAAATCCAATTAATCGGTTCCTATGCCTGCCCGCCCGCCCGTGTTCTGTGTTTCTCAAATCCACAAAATGCCACAAACGCCGCCACGCCAACGACTTCAACAACAAAACATCCCCGTCGACTGATTGCGCGAACCGCTCCGCCGATTTGACCAATATACATCTATCTATATATATATACGATATATATATTTATCTTTATGAACAATTAATATAATACGTGTGAATTCTGTTTTCCCGCTTTGTCAAAATGGAAACTAATTTAATTTCGAATCTTTTTAAACAATCCAAAAATATTGTAAATTTTTAATGCCATCTATATATGTCTTCGCTTTCTATATCTATATAACGATTTTTATTATATAACTGTAATCGATCAATTTATGACTGTACCATATCGATAACGATACCGATGACAATCTATCAACTATATATCGTTCGAACTCTACTATTCATACCATTTGCTTCATGAAAAAACCAAAAAATATCTGTTTTATATAAACTATATAATTTACTACTTAAATGTAATGTAAACAAAACAAAAAACCAAAAAAAAACTATGTATGTGTAAAACATAAATAGATGGTCAATCGCGGCGGCGGTGCCGGCAATCGTCTCAATAATCGTCGTGGCCAAGGAGGTTTCCAAAATCGTGGCGTTACGGGTGGTCCAAAGCCCCCACAAAAGCAGGGCGCCGGCGGCATTCGTAAACAGAATGCTTTTGATCGTGCCAAGAAACTTTTGGCTAAAAATGCCAATACTAATAAAAAGAAGGAAATTACTCCTGGCGAAAAGAAAATTGAGAGGTAAGAGTACAACTACTATAAAAAAAATCAAATACAAAAAAAAAAAAAACAATTCCAATACAACATTTGCCAAAAAGAACAGCGAAAAATTGCTCAATTCGCAGTTTTTCCCTTCACATCAATGTATCAATTCTACAAATATTTTTTATCAATGCATCAATTAAAAAATGTATAACTTTAAGTACTTAATTTCCAATTTTTTCCAATGCATATTGATAAGTTCTTTCTACCAAGAATAATCACAATTAATAAACTCAATTGAATTGCCATATTTATATATATATTTATATATAATAACTATATATATTATATATATAAATATTTGTGTATATTTCCCTATTTTGTATAGAAGTTACATCCTTACTGATTGATGTTAATAGTGTCTTAGCTTATAGGATGGGTCAACTAAATGTGTTTCGTTATTGAATTTTAAATGTTACGTATTTTATTATATAATATTATTTTGCTTATTTTTTCGCATATGTTAACTTATTTTAGTATATATCACTATTCATTGATGTCATTTAAGGGGAACAATGTCATTCATCTATGTTCAAGTATTTTCGGTATTCCGAATGTAAGATACCCTGATTGTGAAATTACGAATAATAATGGAATTTGTAATTACTCCATATATATTCCTAATATCATGCACATCCGTTATTAAATTGAGTAAACCCTAGAAATGGGTAATAGATCAGAAGAGGACCTCGAGCCATGTTCCGTTCTTCCGTCGTGCCTGTTTAATCATATCAATCTTGCCCAATTCAAACTCTCTATTTCTGTTCTCTTTTGATTTGATGAGCATGAGTGCTAGAGTGTTTGAAACAGCTGCTCTGTACAGGGTTCAGGGTATCTGCGAGTTGGATACTCCCGACTAGAACACGCATATTTGTATTTATACTAATGTATAGAGGGGTATATGTGTGTTTGTAACTCACGAACGACTTTTGCATCCATAGGTTAGTTTTATATATACTCTTGATCCGTTTCAACAATAAATTTCATATATATATATGTCATGTCCGTCTGATTCCATTTTCTTTCTCTCTCTCTAAGTCTTCAAAACCATCAAAACGTTGCATAGATTTCCTTTTTGTGCTTTGTGTGTTCTATATTTTATGATATAGCTCATATATACCATTAAGTTCGTACATAAGATAACTTTTGTTTTTCCAAAGATACTTTTGGCAAAGTCACGATTTGTGCATTATAATCGTAATGGAAAGTATCATTAATATAATTTTTTCCATTCAATCAATTGATGTTCATCCTTCATAACTTCATCAATATGCCAGAACTATTAATATAATATATATATATATATGTATAGATGTCTGTCTATATATATTTATCTACTGTGATCCTTTCAGCGTGACTTCTACAACTGCCGTCTATTACAGTCAGCCTCCCTTGATTGAAATATTGTTAACTAATATATAAATTATCTTTGTTCTTTCCTCTTCGTGTGATAATTAGTGCCACCACACCAAAGGAGTCGCCGTATGCTAGCGTCCCGAATGATATGTTCTATTGCCATTTGTGCAAGAAGCACATGTGGGATGCCAACTCGTTTGAGAACCACATCAAGGGACGCACCCATTTGATGATGCGTGAGGGTATTGAGGAGAGCTATCGTCTGAAGGCCAACATGATACGCCAGGAGGCTAAGATTGCCGAGCAGCTGAAGTCGATTGAGTTCGATCGTTTGAAGCGCATGGGTAAGAGCAAACAGCGCCAGTTGGATTATTGCACCATGTGCGATCTGAATTTCCATGGCCATATCTCCACCCATCGCAAATCGGAGGGTCATTTGCAGCTGAAGAAGTTCTTGCATCCCAAGTGCGTGGAGTGCAACAAAGAGTTTGCCACACGTATCGATTATGACACTCATTTGCTGTCAGCCGATCATCTGAAGAAGGCTGCTGAGAACAACACGAAGGTGGGCGAGCGCAAGCGTCAGACTCTGCCCATAAGCACCGCTGAGGAAGAAACACGCGATCTCCGTCCACCACAGAAGCGCAAGAAGAAGCCCGTGAAGAAGGAAGGCGAGGAAACTACAGAAGTCAAGAACGAAAAAGAAGAGGGTGCCGAAGGTGAGGAAGCTGAAGGCGAGGAGCCCAAAGAAGGCGAAGAGGCTGCTGATGAAACCAAGGAGGGCGAAGATCTCAACGAGAGCCAGGAAGAGGAAGAGGTTGCTCTGCCTGTTGATCCCGAGGATTGTATTCTTGACTTTTCCGAAGGCGATGAGATACCCAGTGAAGTAGACACACGTTTGCCCAAATACAATTGGCAGCGCCCCGTTGGTCCTGGCCTGATCTCAAAGCTGGAGTGCTTTGAGTGTGCTGTGTGCAGCAAGTTCTTTGACACAGAAGTCACCGCCGAGATTCACTCTCGCACCGCCACTCATCATCGCAACTTCCTCAAGTTCATCAATGAGAAGTCCAGCGATACCAAGATCGCACAAAAGCGCGCTGCTGCTGCCCTTGAGGAGAATGAGCGCAAGAAGCGCAAAATCGAGGAGACCGAGACTCCAGCTGCTGAGGGCGCTACCGAGGAGACAGCCGAAGCTGGCGAGGGAGAGCTCTACGATCCATCGGAGGCCACTGGCGACGATGAAGACTTCGAGATGGTTGAGAATGCTGAAGGCGAGGAAGAAGCCGGCGAAGAGGAGCTTGTCGGTGATGAGAACGGTGAGGAGATGGAGACCCAGGAAGACGAAGAAGTAGAGCCAGAGCCGGAACCGGAACCGGAGCCAGAGCCAGCTCCAGTACCAACTCCTGCACCTGTTGCTCAGCCAGCTACACCGGCTAAGCCGGAGCCAGCCAAGACGCCGGCCAAGGCTCCAGCAGCAACTCCTGCTGCTGCTGCTGCCACACCAGCTGCAGCAGCCACTCCAACTCAAGCTCCAGCTGTTGCCACACCGGCTGCAGCTGCTCCTGCAGCCGATGCCTCGCCATCGCCGGCCAAGAAGGCAACGCCCGCCAGGGCTGCAGCCGGTCCCAAGGCAACGCCGTTACGCAATCGCGCGCGCGGCCGTTACAACCGATACTAGACGAAAAAGCAGGAGATGGCGGCAATATTGGGCATAAGACACAATATATAGATATATTATAATCCATTAATCTAAAACACACAACTTTCCACACGTTCGAGAGAAACCCCTTTACTACTGTAAGAGAGATTTGAAAGTGGATGCACTTCCTCACCTCACCTCCAGTTACACGGCAAAGCAAGCTCGACTTTTTTCTCTTAGTGACATTTTCATCCCATTTTGCATAAACAATTTGTAATTTGTAATTGACACAGACATCAACTGGATACAAACACCTTTCAGCATGTGTCCTCGATTACAGAAACGAAACACATTCATTAAACAACAACAAAAAACAAGATTTAAAACAGCAAAAGAAAAATGCATTCAAATTATGTACTAAATAACTTTTAAAATAAAAACTTAATTGTACACAAGCTGATGAAATAAGTTATTTATTTAGCTCTATAGAGTCAGAGCTATATCATCCGACAAACTTTAATGAGAGCTGAAAATTGTAGAACGTTAAGCCGTCGGCATTACTTTGGAATACTTTGCGTTTAGTATAGATATAGAGCCTCTTCTGACTCGCATTGAAAAGTTAAGAATCTGAAAGCATAATAGATAAATGATCTGCGAAACAGATTCATTTTCCACTTTGAAATAAATAGCCTATATAACTAGAGAGATATTTAATAGATATAGAGATATTGATATCGTATCGTAAGCGCTAAGGATCTTACAACTATACAAGTATAGTTAATAGATTATAAGAGTATGTGAAGAGTAGAATGGTTGTTCACTTAGCATACGGGAATAGAGTATATGTGTTGCAGCCCTGATATGGTAATGGGATTTATTATTGATAGCTTAAGACTAAATGAGACAGGCAGCTCCTTCAGCTGACGCGCGCTGAAGGAATGTGTCCCAGCATTGAGATACTCCTTTGCCAAAGAGGGTCACACACGCTAGACTAACAAGTACTTAGGGTATGGCAGACATGGCCTGCACGACTTAATTGAAATTGCAATCCAGGGTATTCTGCTCCGTTGTGGTGGTGCGAATGCGACTCTGATCGCTCTGCGAGCGCTGCAGCCGCCCGCCGCGCCAGCCGCAACGCCAGCGTTTGATGCAGCCGAGCAGAGACCAATTGATGCTCTTGGTGCGGCTAAGCACATAGATGTACGGGTCGAGAGTGAAGTGCAAGGCCATCAGGACATCGGCTATGATAAAGAACGGATGCGATTTGGGCACACGATCCTGCCTAATGGCCAATGGAATGGCAATCTGTAAAGGCAAAGCATTAACCATGTGTGTAACACTGTGCAACAAAACTCGGGTATCATTATCAGGCTTAAGAGTTTAATGACTGATAACAAAGATTTGCTAGCAGGATTTACACTCTTTAAACTTTTAAGTTTACCTCACTCAAATTTTGTGTTGTAGTGTAATTCATTGCTTACCATCTGTGGCATCCAGCAGATGACAAAGGAGATGCTAAGGAATGCCATAAGCTTCGCAAACTTGATCTCATCGGGTGAGGTCTCGGCGGTCATGGTGACGCTGTTGCTATGATGGAACTGTCGTGGTGGTGGCATATTGTGGTTGTATTGGTGACTGCTGCTGGTGCTGGTGCTGTACGGTTGAGCCTGATAGAGTGTGGTGCCGCTGCTGCTCTCGGCATCGATGCTGCGCACGCTCTTCTCGCGATTAACCAGATTGTATTGCATATGCCGCTTGGTGGTGCGACTCCGTCCAATAACCCACAGCACACGGGCCACAAACAGATTACAGGCGACAATAACCACGCAGAGTAAACTGCCTGCAGTTGGGGATTAACAATGTAATTTACGCTGAAGTGAGAGGGAGCGGGTGAGAGAGGGACTCTTACCAAACACCATAAAGAATATGGAATAGGCCTTGTTCCAGGTGCCTGGAGCGTCTCGATAGCGAATACATTTCAATTTCTCCGGATTCGTTTCGTTTATGTAGGCGCCAAAGCCAACAAAGGGCAGAAAGGTAACTACAACAGCCACCAACAAGATGCTGTTGACGCTCTTCTGAATCAGCTCGTAGGTGATGTGCTACAGCCAACAGATTTCAATTGTGATGCCAGCGAATAGCTAACGAATCGCCATTTCCGCTTACCTTGTGATAGATGAAGGGCCGTGCCAGCGCCATACATCTCTCGGCGGCCATTACGGCCGCTATACAGCCAGAGCTGACGCCAAAGAATCGCCACACCACATGACCCACGCAGTCCAGTCGCACAAAGAACGGCACCTCCTCCTCCTCAAAGAAATTGTACTTCAAAAGCGCAGCGGTCAACATGCCCAGCAGACCAACCAAGTCATTTGTGGCCAGGCAGCTGGAATGGAAATAATAACATGTGTGAGTGAACACGACTGCGCAATACTCGTTCATGGTTGACGGAAAAGCTCAACTATGCCATATAATTTGGCTATTTATAGAGTTGGTCTACAGTGAGCACAGCTGAGTATACGTAGCTCCGAAAGAGTAAGGGATACAGCTCTACCACGCCTTCAATGGACGTAAGTATATAATTTATAGGGCCATCCATAAAGCATCCATTTAAGTGGGTGTTTTTCACGTTGCCACGCCCCAAAACTTGATTTAACAAACATAACTATAGTCAAGCCTTAAGGATTAACTTTCACAGTGAAAAATCAAGTAATGCCACGCCCTCTATAGGCACAACTTCAACACCTCAACAGAGGAGGCTGCACGCGTGCAAGTCTCTAATAGCCAATATACTCTCTCTCACTTTTGTGAGCGAGCATAATAAAGGATGTGGGATTAGCACGACACAACAGAATGGGTCCATAAATTGGCACAGTTTGAGACGACTTGAAGTCCCTTTTTCTAGAGGTTTAACTGACTGGGACGTGCTCAGCTGTGAGCTCGAGTGCGTGCCGCAGTATAGGCCATTTCGGGCTTTGGGTTCTATGGAGCTACAGGGTCTATAAGTTATTGCCTGTTGCGCCCGCTCGTAAATAGCGCAATTAAAGTTTTCTGTACAATAAGTGTGCTTAATGATGTCACATCTATAATGCCTTATCGATTGGCCAAACAAATTGTGACAAATCGTACTAACTGACCAGGCGCAAGTTGATAATACGCGCTCTATCTATATACTATATATAGGTGAAACTTCCGGCACCTTAATTAATTGATTCATGCCTTGATTGCTTAACATCTGTCCAGTAAAATACATGCGGCTAACTTGTGCGGTTTGCTATCGCATGAATCCGATTAACGAATGTCTGCACATATGCATTTACCTAGATATATACGCATATATATTCTGTATATATACTTCTATAAGGGAAAAGTTGAAGGCCGTTTAATGCCTTATGTCTATGACTATCCAATTTGTGTTTCCCTCGAAGTACAAGTGCAAACCCTAATCATAAATTGAAGTTGGATTCTTATATGGCCATAAATGTAGTTTATCTGAAGTGTTAATAAATTGAAGTATGTGTGTTTGGAATGTCGTGGGGTTTTTAAGTAGTTTATACACAGAGTGGAGTAGCCATGGTGTTACCTATATCATTTCTCTATACAGAGTATATGTTAAACCGAACATCTGTTAAGGTTATCGCTAGTCATGTGATCAAATTTAATTTCTATTCTAGCATCATATAATTATAAATAAGCTTCAATACTTGCAAATTCTGTGCGCTGTAATTATTAAGTGTATTCATTAGTTTGGCTAATTATTAAACAATTTCGCACTCTATCAAAATTGAATTTCCACTTCTTTAATAAATGATTTAATAAAAAAATAACAAAAAAATAATTAAATACTTTTAATAATAACAAAATTATAAATATAAATAAAATAAAATAAAATATATACATATATGTATATATTTTGTTTTTGTTAATATTTTTTATAAAATAATTTTTGATGTTCCAAAATTTGTGGATGATCTGCAATTTCTACAAGAGTTTCGAATATATATATATGATAGTTCTCATCTATAAAGCCTATTACAAATTTGCCGTAGAACATTTAATATTAGTTGTGATCCGCTGGGGCCAATCCCTTGTTTACTTTCAGATAGAAGACAACAAGTTCTCTGTTTGTCGTTGCAAAACTAGATTTTTGTGTTTTTTTATTTTTTTCTTACAGAAGCATTAAAAATTGTCACTCGTCGTGCCGCATAAGAAAATCATTTGTCTTAGTTACAAATAATTGATTTCAACTCTCGCCAGTCCGAAGAAAATCGAAAATCGAAAATCGACTATACACATATAGAAATACCAAGCTATATGTATATATATAAAGAGAGAGAGAGAGACGCCGAAATGTAATTATTGTTGAACTAAACATTGACTGGACGAACGCATAGAGCCAGACAAACATACTATGTGTATATATATCGATAAAGATATAGATCTGGATATATATATGTCTATATAGTCACAATTTGTAATTACACTGGCGATTTATGGTGTATACAAAACTTTTACATTTGCGAGTTGTAATTGCACTGGAAAATGTTTGAGCAAATTTTTGCTAGGGCAACAAAATTCAAACTAAACAAAAATAAGTGGCGGGCATAGACGACTGCGTAATGCTCGCTTTCGGATTGAAAAAGAACATAAAGTATAGAACATATAGAAAATATAGAACATAGAAATAAAATTTATATTTATATATCTACAGAGAAACCTATCTAATTTCTAACTGACATTTGCCATACATGGATATACATACTATTTACAATTTCTAGTTTTCAGCTTTAACAGCGCCATAAATCATAGATTTTATATTATAAAAATATAGTAATTGCCCCATTTGCCATATATTTACGTGTGCTGTCTGTTCTGTTAAGGTGTTAAAATTGAGATATATCTAATTTCAAGTCTCTAGTTTGGCCAATCAATATGCTCGCTTTTCACTATGTGAGCGTGTATTAAATTGAAAAATAAGCAAATCATTGCAATCGCATAGCGGAAGTGTATCTACTATATATATATACATATATATATATGGATTTGTACATATACTTCTATATAGACATTATAATTTATGCACGTATTTTTAGGGCCCGCATGAAAGCACAAACTTTCAAGGGCTGCTAAATATGTCAGTATATATATATATATACAAACATACATTAGCCTTACATCAAGTGCCAATGAAAGCACACATTTTCATCAATCAAAATCAAATCGTAGATCAAAGCTTTTGCCATTTTGTCCCTTGAGCGAGCACACGCGCAAGTCCTTTGCAAGGACATTTTCGGTT